AGAAGCAAGCGTCGACACGATGGGTCGTCATCCTCTCAGCCGAAGGCTGGTGTGAGTCAGGCTCCAGACTTGACGTTCGGTTATTTGTTTGATGATGACATAGCTGCCCACGAGACGTTTGTGAAGTATTTCATGAGCAGGAAGATTTGCGAGCCGAAATCACTGGATTCGGCCTTCTTCAACTTGGAGCATTTTGACATTGTGCCGCTACTCGAGGAGACACATTTAATTGTGCTTGCGGAGATGCGGTGCCCATACTCGGAGGTGATGGTGAGAGCCTTCTACCAGAACCTTGGCTATGCGCATGGCGAGCTGACTTCCTGTCTCTGCGAGATTGATATCATCATGACTGCTCCTATATGGACAGAGCTACTGGGTTTGATTTTGATGGTGTCACAAGAGTAGCCCTATATGATGGAGACAACCATGATATATTTGGTGATTATGACAGGGAGGCCACTGTTACAGAGACTAGGAGGGCAGACGCTGAGGCCAGACATTTTTCTCATTATCCTGTGAGCAACTTGTCGGTGTCTGCTCGCATTCTCCATTATGTGGTGACACATATTATTTTCCAGCGCCCGCATAATCATTCGAAGGTGCTGGAAGGAGACTTTGTCATATTGTGGGCCCTCCTTCACCATCAGCAGGTGAACTGGAGGCATTATATATGCATACTGATGTGGAAGGCTACCAAGTCAAAGAAGACTGAATTGCCTTTTGCATTCCTGGTGCAGAAGATTCTGCATAGATTTGGTGTGCCCATGGCAACAGAGATCTTGAAAACCGCCACAGGGTGGAATGCTATATTTGGTGAGAGGCTCCTGAAGCAGTATGGGATCATGCGGAGCAGAGCGGGTCCCTGGTACTGGAAGAAGGCACCAGAACCACCTGAGATCCCAGTCCACCACGATGCTGAGATGGAGGATGCACCTGCAGTGATGTCTTTTGGGTTTAGGGTTTATGCATTATTGTTGGTTTGTTTTTTCGGTTCTTAATTATAATATGTCCATTTTCATGACTTATGATGCAGGCCTTGATGACGATGATGATGGTGTTGCTCCTGTTGATGACGGACGAACACATCCCACCCGCAGTCGGCGTCCACCAGCCCATCCATCTCTTGAGGGTGGATGGACAGCTCCTGAGGGTGGATGGACACTTGATCATGTCATTGCATCCATGTATAGTCTGACAGTAGGCCTTGACTTATTGACTACTGATTTTAGAGGATATAGAAAGAGCACAAGCAAGTGGCGGAACCAGATTGACACAAGGGTTGAGAGCTTGGACACAAGGGATACACGCTTGGAGGCTGGCTACATGAAGGGTGATGAGGAGGCTAACGCTGAGGACAATAATGATGTGGAGGAGGATGATGAGAATGGGGAGGACACACAATCAGATTCCAGTAGATAGGGTTTAGCCAGTAGTGGATGTATTTTGGTTAACTAGCAGGGTGTATTGGGTTTAGGCAGCCCATTTTGGATGTATTTCATGACTTTTTTGGTACAATTAGGTTATTTACCTACATTCTGAGATATGTACTTGTAGTTCGATGTTCAATGGTTTGAATGTTCAATTGTGTCTTTGAAATGGTTTGAATGTTCAATTGTGTCTTTGAAATGGTTTGAATGTTCATTTTGATATTTCGCAAATTTGGAATAAGTTTAGCGCACATCGTGCCTCCGGCATCCCATATTTACGAACTGAATCCACCCCCAAGTCATATTATATGTTGACCTTCGAAATCAATCAAAAAACTACACAAAAACCAAGTGGACCAGCTGCTGTTGCAACAAAAACAACTGGTCTACCCGGGTAACACGTACTGGTGTACCCGAGTATGGGCTACCCGGGTATACCATTACGTGTTACCCGGGTAGACCAGTTGGTTTTGCAGCAACAGCAACTAGTCCACCCGATTTTTGTGTATTTTTTTTATTGTTATGGTATACCATAACCTTAACTGACTCGGGGACGGGTAAATAGGTATGGTATACATTCAGACATTGTGTAATACGAAACGAGTTGAATGCTTAACATAACGGTTGTCTACAATGTATGTTATGCAACACAATACATAAATAATACAAGATAGGGTTTATGGTACCATAAACAATACACAACAATACAAGTCAATAGGAAAAGACAATACGTAAACCGTATGTCATTACAAAACAAAGTACAACATGGAAACATAATCACGCTTGTCTTAGCCTCAAAGGACATGTACGAATGTTATGTCCAACTTGCTTGCAATGCTTACATCTGCTCTGACTGCTCGAGGGTTGAGACTCGACCCAATCCATCTCATTCTGAATCCTTGATGACTTTGGTCTTCCTTTTGCACGTACCAACCTTGCATCCGGAATTACAATAGGTCCAATAACATGTGGAATCAACAATTCATTGCCAATAGGAAACCAGTGTGCAGCATATACTTTAGCAATGGTCGAGATTTTGAAAATTTGATCCACATAAGCATAATGGTTTAACTTGGCTGCCTTGCAAACTGCTAATACATGGCTGCGCGGATACTTCCTTGCTGTAAACCTACCACACTGACATGTACGATTGATTAAGTCCACTCTACTAATGTCACCAACCTCGTGTGTAAATTGATTGTAGGCATCCTCAACCTCAAACAATAACAGCTCACTATTATATATCCTTACACGATAAGTGCCACCAATTCATCATTTTTTTCGAAAGCTGCCTTAACCTTCTTTGAAATTATCCATCCTTGTGAGATATCTTTTTCAATCGCTTCACGTCTCTTGACGAAATACTCAACGAGTCTACTGAATGTCATTTTCACCAATGCAGTTATCGGCAGATTACGTGCTCCACGAAGCACCTTATTCACACACTCAGATAGGTTGGTTGTCATATGACCAAACCTACGTCCTGCCTCCAAATGACATCTGAATCCAACTGTCGATGATCCTATGATAGGCCCTGATTGAGGCATGTGTGATCTTGACCCCATTCACGGACCACACAATTAGCTCCCTTCTTCGGCTTGATTGCCCTCATATACCAGGAACAACCCTCAGCATGATTTTTACACTTCATAACAAATATTGACTCGTCGCTTTTTTCGACTATGGTTGTCCTGCGCCCCTTCATACAATGTATTTTAACAGCATGTTGCATTTCAGGTTTGGAGCCAAATTCTTGTTGCGCAAATAACGGATCTCCTAACTTCCAACCTCCGTGCAAGTCATCATCCCCATATAGGATCTCCAACTTGTCATTAGGGTGCACCCAATTAATGAATGAATAATGTTGGCTTTCATTCCAGAAAGGCTCCACCGCAGTCCCTGCATCTAAAGATCAACTCTCATTTGTCTGAATGAATACCACCACAAATAATAATTGTCTAAACCAAATGTCCAAAATTAATAACTTACCACTACTGACTGGGTCAACATGAAGTGGTGACAAGGCTGGGGTACCCAGACTTACCGCGCTCGTGTCAGTCTCAAAATTTTCGTCCACGACAGTGTCTGACGAATCACCTTGTGGGATAGCACTTTCAGGTTCTCCCTCATCTTCGTTGTCCACATACTCCTCATCTTCATCCTCTTCATCCTCATCCAATGCTACCTGAGGAGGTGCGGAAGATCGTACAACTGTATCTTTTTGACCAGTACAATGTGCAGTAGTGGTTGTATGCACCGGTAAAGATGAAGACTGACCAGCATCAACTTCAACATATATCTCAATATATTTTAATACTTTCCATCCAACAAACGCAGCTGTTACGAACTCCAAATCTTCATCATCATTGATATCGTTACCAATGTAGTATATTGTATCCATATCCACTACACTCTCTAACCTGGCAATCATGCGGTGGATGGATTGTATGCCTTCTAACCCCAATTTTTGAAGAATTCTCTCCTTCAATTCATTGCATGTAGTGCCCAGTTTGATTTTCATCGTTTTTGTTTTTCCTTCAAATCTGACACCGTTCGGACCTTCAAAATGCCTTCCATTGTAGTAAATAACTATAGGAACCATGTTTGAACTTGAACTCATTTTTCACACGCAAATTAGATCTAGGTTTTGGGTTTGGAGGTTGGTTCGGATTTTTTAGCACAAAATGAGAGTGTGGAAGTGTAATCCCAATGTCTTACCAAGATTAAGCTTTCTAAAATGATGAGATGAAATATGTGTGATGTTTCTGAATATAGAGGTCAAGGAAGAGAGATTTGGGGGAACAAAACCTAAACCTAGCAACAATGGCCGAAACCCATTGATATTGGGGTTTCTGGTCTATATTTACCCGGGTACACCCCTTCTTATCCGGGTAACTAATTCAACCATTTTTTCAGATTCAAGAACTCTACCCGAGTATACCCCTCCCTACCCGGGTAGGAAAGATATTTCAAAAAATACCCAAATAGGAAGGGGTGTATCCGGGTAGCTTGATGGTAAACGGTCAAACAGGTACAAGTTGATGTTATGTTTATTGAGAGAGTTAAATTTTTAAATTAGTTTCAAATAAAAGTCAAATTAATAATTAATTATTAATTAAAGATTATAAAGTTCGAGATCTAAAGCTTTAATTATTAAGAAGTAGATTAGAGTACGACAGTCAGTACAAATCTGTGTGTCGGCCAGTGCTTAGTTCCCTTTTCTCTGTCCATTTGAGTAAGGTTTCTTCTCACTAAGGTCCCAATCAGGGTGTCCATCTATCTAACTGAGAGACTCGACATTGTTCTAGCGTTGACACTGATCTTTGATATTTCTTTTATCCCCATGTTCAGATTCAGCACAACTTACAAGTTACGAGGTACCTACTTAGGATCCTGCAAAACAAAAACCCTGCCACTGTTCACAACCTTTTTACCCCAATACTCATAGATCGCAATCCTTTGATCTTTTCTACTTCCAACACAACATATACCATTCTTCCTCGTAAACCCGTGTCTCTCTCTCTCTCTCTCTCTCCCTCTCTCTGTGTTTTCCTTAAGCAGAGTGAAAAAAAAATGGCAATTCTAAATGTTGACTTTTTCAAGGAGAGGAAATACCCATTCATTCTTACTCTCTTGGTCTTGCTCATTTGCGTCACAGTCTTCCTCTTCACCACAACCACCACCTCCAAATCTGTTTTTTTCTATTCTGATGTCAAAGAGCAACCACCCCTCAACCCTTCCCCTGTAACCCCAGATTCTACTACCAATCCAAAAGAGGAAAAGCTACCCCAAAAAGTGACCAATATCACAGTCCCGAAGGACCAAGGATTGCCCCAAAAAGAAGAGGCTCTCGGTAATGTTAATATCGATTGGAAGCTATGTAAGGACCCGGTAACGATTGATTATATACCCTGTTTAGATAATTTTAAAGCGATTAAGGCTCTGAAATCAAGGAGGCACATGGAGCACAGGGAAAGGCATTGTCCTGATACTAGTCTGCACTGTTTGCTGCCCCTTCCCAAAGGGTATAAAGTCCCGGTTCCGTGGCCTAAGAGCAGGGACATGGTGAGATTGATAGTTTGGTAAGAAATATTATGGTTTGTGATGGGAGCATATGATTGTGTTAAGGTTATTTCAGTCTCATTTTGATCAACAATGCTAGGCGTTTGCTTTGTGCCTTTGCAAATATCTATCAATTATGGTCTCACTATCACGGCTGCATTTTATGATCAAATGCACTTTAATTAAGATTCCTCTACTTGCCTCCTAAATATGTTAAGATGTGGTAAATGCAACTGGTATGCATACAGCATTCGATTCACGGCTTATTTTTATTGTCTAATGAATAGAATGAATCTCTGTCTGCATTTCAGCATATAAAATATATAATATTATATAATGAAACCTTTGTGAGTATATATAGATATATATATATATATATATATATATATATATATATATATTGTACCTTTTGCTTGGATTAGAGCTTTGGGCCGTGTGATACATAATCTAGTGTATCAGAACTTATCTTTAAAATTTCATCTTTCTACCAAATGGTGGTAGCTCAGTTGGTGCATAGGAGCTAAGCAGACGAGGGTGAGAGCATATGTTCGAATCTCCCCAGTACCACCTTTGGGAGGGGTTTAAAGCCTTAATCCTGGAGCCGCCCCGAATCGGATTAGTTGCGAAGCAATAAACCGATTGGAATATTTCCAAAAAAAAAAAATTTCATCTTTCTCCGATATCTGACTTTCAGTAATTTTCCATGTTAATTTTAAGTTTTGAAGTTAATTGAGTTAAATTTTATAATCTTCTTAATAAAGTGCTAATATTTGGGACATATTTTATCCTTTAACTTGGTAATCAGTACATATTCTGCAGCTCATTGGTTAAAATGTTGTACTCTTAACAAATGTACCGGTATTCTGAAAGAGGTTTTGCTTGGTGATTAGTCACACATTTGATTTCCTCTTATTTACTCATGAAAGTATTGGTGATTATTATTAGTTGAATATCTGATTTTTACTTTTACCTAGTCATGATAGCAATGGCAATGGAGTTTTATATTTCCCTTTTCTCAGGTTTGGTATGATAATGTCCCTCATCCAAAGCTAGTTGAGTACAAGAAGGACCAACACTGGGTTGTGAAGTCTGGTGAATATCTTGTCTTTCCAGGAGGTGGTACTCAATTCAAAGATGGAGTTGATCATTACATTGAATTCATAGAGAAGGTATACTGTCATGTGGCTTCACATAATTTATTGTAATTATGATATGTTCCTTATTGATATTATGTGAACATAGCATAAATCTCAGAGCTGAGTATTGGTTATATTAGGCAGGAGCTATAGGTGTATACTATGAGAAAGTAGACAGGCTGAAAATTTTGTAATATCTTTTTAGTCCAGTTAGATATAGTGCTTTGTTGGTTCTCTCTTTGATTGACAGAACTTGTCTAAGATCTTGCATTAAGATTTGACATCATTTAACTTCCAGTTATTGGCATCCATTTATTGTTTTATTTTCTTATTAAATTTGATGAGATTTTGTTACATTTGTTATCATGAGTGCCAGGAAATGTTTCATTTTGATTTATGCATGACTTAAACCAGTGCCTTACATTTTTTATATGACTTGTTCTTGAATGCATACTACGTTTTGTGGTTTGCTGAATTTTTTTGTTTCACACTAGGCATTACCAGCAATTCAATGGGGAAAGCATATCAGGGTTGTTCTTGATGTTGGCTGTGGTGTTGCTAGCTTTGGTGGCTATCTGCTGGACAAAAATGTTATTACTATGTCCTTCGCCCCGAAGGATGAACATGAAGCTCAGATACAGTTTGCTTTGGAGCGAGGAATTCCTGCAACTCTTTCTGTCATTGGAACACAGAAGTTGACTTTTCCAGACAATGGGTTTGATTTGATCCATTGTGCACGATGCAGAGTTCATTGGGATGCAGATGGTACTTTTCTTCTTTTCTTATTTCCATATTGGGACAGCCTTCTATAACTGCCTTCCATGTTTCATTTATTCCCATCTCTGAGAGAAATGTGTATTTACAAATCTGGTTCATAACTTTAGGTGGGAAACCGCTATACGAGCTCAATAGGATTCTTAGACCTGGCGGTTTCTTTGCATGGTCTGCCACCCCAGTTTATCGTGATGATGACAGAGATCAGAAAGTATGGAATGGTTTGTCTTTCTTTTTCTCTATCACCCTACTCTGTGTGTCTGTCTTTATGTGTCATTGTCTCTCCTCTCTTATTTAATACATAGAGATGTTGAATTTTTGTATGACCCAATCATGACGCCGCAATAGGCAAACAAATTATTATTACTTGGGAGATCAATGGTTCTGTCTTCTTAGCCCTTGTGTTTAAGAAAAATAAAATTTCATTTCTTTTAAACTGCAGCCATGGTGGCTATAACAAAAGCTATGTGCTGGAAGGTTGTGGCTAAGGCTCGTGATTCATCTGGAATTGGGCTTGTTATATACCAGAAGCCTACCACATCTTCTTGCTATGAGAAACGTAAAGAGAACAATCCACCTTTATGTGAAAATAAGGATGGGAAAAATAGCTCATGGTATATATATATATTTTTTTTGGGGTCATATTTCTATGAAATTTATATTTCCATTAATGTATACTTTCTCTGCAATGCCAACATGAAAAGAAAGGAACTGAGAAATAGTTTTAAAAAAAAATCCAAATAAAATACACGTGTACCATAGGAAGCAATGCTAGGCATATTACTATGTTTAATTTAGTTTCTATGTTTGCTGAATTTCTCTCCATGATTATATTTAGGTATGCCAGACTCAGTAGTTGCCTTACTCCTCTTCCAGTTGATGGTATGGGTAACCTGCAGAGCTGGCCCATGCCTTGGCCCCAGAGGCTTACCAGTAAGCCCCCTAGCTTATCTGCAGATTCAGATGCCAGTGATCAGTTCTACAAGGACAACAAACGCTGGTCTGAATTATTTTCAGAAGTTTATGCGGATGGTCTTTCTATAACTTGGTCAAGTGTTCGAAATGTAATGGATATGAATGCTGGTTATGCAGGGTAAAGTATATTTAGTTATAAGACTAGTGCTTTTTTTCTTGCTCTTTTTACCTTTACATTCTTCAGTAGAGTATGGGTCATTTTGAGGGCCTTGATACATCCATATACCCATATTAATGTCAATCTTCTCTGACATTAACATTTACATTGTCTGTTACTTTATCAACACAAATTGGCGAGTTTCCTCCAAGTTTCTTTCAAACTGATACTAAGTGTGTTATTTTCAGATTTGCCACAGCTCTCATTGATCTACCAATCTGGGTGATGAATGTAGTACCGATTGATGTGCCAGATACTCTTTCTATTATATTGGACAGAGGGTTAATAGGAATGTATCATGATTGGTGCGAGTCCTTTAATACCTATCCTCGCACATATGATCTCCTTCATTCTAGCTTTCTTTTCAAATATCTGGAGCAAAGGTATGCTTATTGAAGAAACTAATGCCTATAAGATCATGTTCTTCTTGTTCTATTATTATTATTATTATTATTATTCTAGAACTCCAGTCAGTTTACTTCTATATGTAGCATAGCTATGTGTTAAGATATGATTCTGACAATTAGCGATCTTTGTCAGATGTGACATTGTTGATGTGGTTGCCGAGATAGACCGCATATTGAGACCTGGTGGATATCTCCTGGTTCACGATTCTACGGAAATACTTAGCAAGCTCAGTCCAATCTTGCGTTCACTTCACTGGTCTGTAACGATGCATCAAAATCATATTCTTGTTGGTAGGAAGAGTTTCTGGCGTCCTAAGGTATAGGGTTGATGAACATGACATAATCTTCAATCGCCCCCGTTTCAGTATGTTCTGGTTAAAAATCAAGAGCAAAAGATTGCATTTTAAGAAAGGAATATTTATTTGACAGGTAATCTTGTCTGAGTGTTAAGTCTGTTGATGAGACACATTTATTTATAGTAAATATAGAGGATTTGTGTTATCAAAAAAAAAAAAAAAAAAATATAGAGGATTTTGCTCTTTCTATTATAGTTTTGCCAGGAACTTATGCTCGGTATGATATGCTCTGACGTAAACTTGTGTCCCTCTGGTGATTCTAACTTCTCCATGCACTAAAGTGATTTCTCCAATGCACTTCTTGGGCAGGACAAAAACCAATTTTGCAAGCCAAACATACTAGGCTTTTTGTTTTTTTTTTGAGAAGTCTCAGGGCCTTGAACAGCATAATTCTTGAAGCTGAATTTGCTCGTCTGCAAGCTTTCCTCTGCTTATCAAATTATGATATTTGTTTTAATAACAAGGAGAGTATCCCTGCTTATTAGCAGAAATTCAGATGTAGACCTGTATAACCAGACAGATCTTTTAGGTTCAGTAACTTCAGTTTATAGACGCAGAGCTTGTGTTTTCGTCTATGTCTAATTCCAGGCACAGTGGCACGTATGACAATGATTTACACAAGCAGACTGACTCAGAAGGAACCACACATTATCCCCAAACTTTATATTAAAAAAAATCACCTATGCAGGAACCGCACAAATAGGTACCCGCAAAAGAAATTACAAAGAATTTTCACAGTTGAAAGTTGAATTGTCTGCAATAATCCTGCCATTAGCTGATGCAACATTCCTGGAGTAGCAATTGAACCTATCAGTGTAACTATAATTTTGTTTGGTGGTTGCTTGACCTGATAGAACAGAGTGACCCTTGACCTCCATCCATCCCTTCGAATCTTGGACGTTACTAATCGAGTTTATGAAGCACCCACCTACATACTTCTCCTTGAAAGCATGAGAAACATTGGTGACAAGCCGGTATCTATCATTGCCATTGCCATTGCCGTTCTGACAACATGGTTCAGTCGAAGTAATAACTCGCAGGGGATACTTGCGCTTAACCTTCAACTTTGAAATCAATTCACCTCTGCCATTGATTACCTTCACCTTCTTCTTCGCCTTGAATTTCTGCTTAACCATCTTGTAAGTACCATTATGTTGGAACTTTATAAAGTTCTTTAACGTGAATCCCTGCGATATGGAGGTGGTTATGTTGCCCGCACTAGATAAAACCCACCCTGCTATCTGCGTTTCCTTACCCGCTTCCACTTCAAACACTCCATCAAGTCCTTTAAACTCCTCTTGGTGTTCTATTGAGGTTTCAGGACTCATGTGAACGACTCGGTTCGCATGAACCTCCGAGGATTCATGATCCAACCAAAGGTGCAAATTTGCATTGACGAGCCAGTACGAGATGCCCCGAGCCACTCCTATTCCAAAAGCATGCTCTTGCCCATCCAGAAGCTTTCCCAAAAACGGCGTCAAATCCATGTCGTAAGAAGGAAGGTTGAAAGCCCCAATTGCCACCATGGGTTCCCAGAACAAGGGGTTGATTCCGCCCGTGAAAATAACCGGAAACGGAACCTCCCACCCGACAACCTCGCCGTCAATCGTCACATACACTTCCCTGTAAGCTCCGTTGCCCCGCCCCGTGGTTAAACCGTTCGCCGTGATGTACGAACTGGGCGGATTCGAGTACCAAAACTCATCGTTTCCATGGAAAGACACGTACAGTTCCAGAACCGCTCGGTGAGTATTCTGCGGTATTTGAATTCTTCGTGATTTCAAATCCTTTTCATCCTCCACCTTGAACCAAAACCCTCGTTTTCCGTCATCAGATATCGGAATAATCAAATCAGCTGGGGATTCGGATTCATTCGAATCCCAGAAACCTTTTACCTCTGATTCTTCACGCATAAGAGACCTTGATCTTCGATTCAGTTCCGAAACCTGAGGGCAAGGGCTAAACGGAAACCTAACGGCGTACTCGTTGTAGTACAAGAGAGTGACGGTGACGTGGTAAACGCCGGTGTATTCATGGTTAACGATGTTTTCGAGCATCATTGTGAGTTCGAGGTCAGACCTTGCAAGGAGAGAGGAGTACCTGGTGACGTCCTTGCGGACGTTCCAGAAGATTCCGGAGTTGGTGGGCTCGGCAGTGCTGGTGCGGAAGAGCTCGACGCCGCCGAGCCAGATGGCGGCGATGCGGTCGTACTGTTCGCCTTTGCACTTGGCGTGGAAGCGAAGGACGACGCGAGACCAGGGTGCGGGGCAGTGGGAGGGAGGAGAGTAGGGAGTAGAGTAAGGAGGTGAGTCTATGGTGTTAGCGAAGGAGTGGTGTATGATTTGGTGGGAACATGAGGGTGTGGCTTCGTGCGACGGCGGAGGGTAGCTCACCTCGAAGTATTCTTTACGGTGGGATCGGGATCGGGATCGGATGAAACGGTCTGGGTGGGACTGTGACAAGCAAACAGAGGGAACGAGGAGAAGGAATAGTAAACACTGGAAGGTGTCCATCTTGTATCTACACTTGGTTGGTAGTGGAAGGTGTCCATCTTGTATTCTATTCTTGTTCTTATAATTCATAGGGATCTATGGGAAAGTTTGGAATCATCCATCGAATGATTTTGGTTAAACTCTGCAGTACTTTATGATAATTTTGGGTAGCTTCATTTACAGGTCATTAAATGGCTTCGTATATATAATTCACTTTAGTACAGCTAAGGAAGGAAATTTCTTTGTTTAATAGAGACGTTACTCTTTGCCCTGTTGATTTTTGCTTTGTTTTTTTTTAAAGGAAGACCTACTCTTGAGACAAAGAAGATTAGGAAGAAAGATGATTGGAAAGGAGGTAAATTAAATTATTTTTTTCTCATTACATGTCTCTTAATTCAGAGGGACTATATTAATTTTGTTGTACTCCTTTATGTGACTATATTGGATGAACTTTTTTTTTAAGAAAAAAATAAATAAATATATCAGCATCCTAACGACTAGCATGCTGGATGTTCATCCAAGAATAAAATGTTTTAAAATGTAGTACACGATCCTCAAGGGATAAAATGTTTTAAAATTACATAGTTAGTACGGCAATATTTAAAAGGGGCCCTATACATGTGTTTTTTTTTCCTCTACCAAATAATAATTCACACAATATTTTGGTTTATTACTGGATAATAGCCTAAAAATTTTATTCAAAAGAATCGAAAAAATAATAAGAAAATTATTTATATGAATTATACATACACCATAAATAGCATTAACCACTGCATCATCGTCATCATTTATATCTCATTCTAAATTTGATTTCCATGGTTGATAACAATACCTTTTTAAGCTAAAATCACAGGAAAAGAGGACAACGCTCCCTTGCTAATAAGCAACTGACAAATATCATCATATCCCCAAACTCGAGCCATGTACAAAGGGGTGGCACCCCTCTTGTTCATAGCATTAAGGTTCACACCCTTGTCGATTAAAACTCGAGCGGTCTCTAAATGGCCACCCTCCACCGCCATATGCAAGGGCACATGACCTTCCTCGTCCTGACATTCCAAGTCCAACCCTGCTTCACTAAGCATTAACACCACATCCTTGTGCCCTTTAACAGCTGCAGCATGAAGTGCTGTCAAACCATATTGATCACGATAGTTAACACTCGCACCTCCCTGCAACAGTGACTCGAGTTGCCTCACGTCTCCATGCCTCGCAGCCTCTAGTACTGCTTCTCCTTGCTCCACAACCCCTACAGCCTCTTTCTGAACATAAGAAATCTCATTAAACATCACAAAAAAATAAAAAATAAAAAAATACACTAGTTTCTAACGGAGCAATGCGTTCAACTTTAATTAAAATGAAATACATTGATAACATGTACCCAAAAAAAAAATAGATTGGTAACTAGTTTCCAATTGGAATACATTGATAATTTTATTTTTTTCTTTAAAGAAAGGCACTATTAGTGGTCATGTTGTATTGAATTTTTTTTTTTTTAATGAAAATTCTATGAGACTTTAGCCAAGCAAAAAATTAAAATAAAATGACACTACCAGAATTATAGGGTTCGCTGTATTCAATTGAAAGAAAAATATTTGGTTATAAAGTGCAGAAAACTTGAGGCTACTCGCATATAACGGTCCCTGAATACGACAAGAATTGATGGTAGCAAGGGAAGCACTCACGTGGGCTACGTCGTCAGTAGCAATGTTTCCATCTGCCACGTGTACCTCATCAGAGCCCTTCAAATTATCGGATCCGACGGACTCCTGAATTCTCAACCCGGCTTCAAGCAGCAGGTGAACCATGTCGTCTGGGTTGACCAACTCGGTCGCGACTCGGAGGAGCGAGTTAGCTTCTGTGTGGGACAAATCAGTGAGGACCGAACGCTGTCGTTTAATCAAGTTCCTGACAGCATCTAAATCTCCACGAGTGACGGCGTCGCGCAGAAGGAGAGGACCCACAAAGGCGACCTTGAGTTTGAGGTCTTGAGTGGAGAAGCCGTAAGGGCGAGAGGCGAACCATGAATTGAGGGAATCGGAGTTGGTGGAAGCGGAGGAGTTGGTGACGAACTCGGCGGTTTTGATGAGAAAACGGTCGGAGGGGGAGCGAGGATAAGAGCGTGGGAGATGGGTCTGTGGTTTGAGGATGACTTGGAAAGTGGCTAAGGACAGTGGGGGAATGAGTCCGCTCGGCGGTTTAACCAGGAACTTGTTGGGTGAGGAGGTTTGGATCTTGAAGGCCACTGGTGTGGTTGGGCTCAGTGACCTGAGCCCCACCGTGGCTCGGCATTTGCAGTTCAATGCGAACTCTATCCGAACCTCTGCAGGTTCGCACACTTCCACTAGCCTCTCCATCTACCAACCCTCTCTCACCTCTAAATCTTCTCTGTGCTTTCAGGATTGGTTAGGTAGTTATTTGGTATAGATGAGAAAAAAAAAAAAATGGGAGTCAAGTCAGACTGGACTGGAATTTCCTAACGCTGAACCACGTGACGACCCAAGTCGTTCAATATGTGGGCCCCATTAAAACCACCAAAATTCCACCCCACCCCACCCCAGTGAGGTTCAACTTTAACCGTTTAAGAGTACACGTGGATTAGGCATGCTATGCTTCATTCCCATGCTATGCTATGCACTCTCGGGTAGCTCTCTGTTTACTACATAACAATAAGATTCTTCCCTCTCACCGCGCGCTTTTGTTGCTTGCTGCATTGCATGTTGCATTTGGCCGGTATAATAGAATAGAAATAGATTAGAAAGTGGTGAGTTTTGCAAGGCTCTCACACGCTTTTCTCTTTGCCTTTTTGAATTTATCATTAACTGAGTGTTTGCTGATTGCTAGTTATATATACATAGTTGTATCTCTCCGTGACCGGAAGATGTTTTACTCTCACCAGCTTCTTGCTCGAAAGGCTCCACTCGGCCAAATATGGTACTCAGATTCCCATCCGGTTCTTGTTTTTGTTTTGCAGCTCATTTAACTCTGATCGTAATGACACTCTGTTTTCCGTGGAATGTGGAATTTCAACTGTGAATGTGATGAACTAATGATTCTGAAGAAAATAAATCGTTGTTTAATTTACGAACGCTCTTTTAATTTCATTTTCTTTCTCCACCGAACCTTATCGGTGATTCTGGATTTCAATTTCTTTCAACTACGACGTTTTTTCTAAAATGAGAAATAAGAATCGTGATTGCTTTCTCTCTCGGTACTTGATGAAGGATGGCCGCGACTATGCACGCGAAATTAAACCGAAGAAAGCTAGACAAGCTTAATATAATTAAGATCTGGTAACGATTGCTTCCTTATATGCATATTCTTCTTCTTTTTGTAGTGGAGAGTTATATCATATCATATCAAACCGAACTCGTTATATGCTACTGTCTCTTTTGCTTGTTTACAGCGAAGAGATTTTGAACCCATCGATTCCTATGGCTCTTAGACTTTCTGGAATTCTCATGGGTACACTCTCTCTCTTTGATTCCCCGTAATCTGCAATTTCTCTTTCCATTTCAATTAATAGGTATGATATCTCTGTGCCTCTGTTTAATGGTTGTTGCGCTTTTATCAGGAGGAGTGGTGATTGTTTATGAGAGAAAAGTGAAGCTCCTTTATGGTAATTTTTTGAATCCTTGTTTTCATGATTAATAAAACATTAAAACGATAAAAGCTCCCTTTCTGCGCACAACATTTTGGAAGAGCATTTCTGAATTCTCCTGTTTTATTTTTAAATTTTTTAATTCTACCTTTTATTTCGCAGACGACGTTACCCGTTTCCTGGTATAAAGTTCAACTTCTCTATATTTCCTCTGGTATATGTTTACCATTCGTCTCCTTTGTTCTCTACATTGCTTTCATCTCGATTGCGTAAGGTTGAGATAAATGAAGCCTGGAAGGTAAAGACTGCTCCAGATCCTACCGTGCTCCCCAAAGGAAAATCTCAAGCCAAGTTAGTCACATTTGCTCTAAATCATCATCATTCTCCATTTTAACTTGTTATCAGTTATGGATAATATATGTTGCTTTTAACTACATGGCACAAATTAAGTAACGGCAGAATAGGAAGTTCCTCATGCAATTATTTATTTATTTATTTAATTTCACTCTGCTGTGTATTAACATTTTTTTTTTTTTTTTTTTGACAGGAAAGAGGCTGTTACTCTGGCAGTGAACGAAGAGATAAATGTGGGAGGTATTGAAAAGTCCCTTCAGTTTTCCAACACAGCCACCAGTATGGGGTTCCAACATACCGCCTATTTTACTATGGTCTGTAACAGGTCTCACTGCATTGTACCCAAAATGGATATAGCATTTAAATCATGTTGAACCAGTGTTATCAAGCAAATTATGTCATGTTGAGAATATTTATAGAAGCTTGTTCTATATAGAAACGGAAGGGGGGAAAAATGAATCAATAAATTAATCTAGAAACAACTTTTGTTCATGATCAAAACGGTTAATTGCATTGATCTTGCACAGAAACTACGGTGTTTCATCATTTACTAGTTACCTAACCATGGCTCATATTAATTACCCTGTCTTGCAAGGGAGGGGGTTAGAGTATTTTGGGTCTAATCCCAATTAGGTAAAGAAGTTTCTCCCAAACCGAAAATTGTGAAAAACCTTGCGGACAATGTTGAGCTTATCTAAGCTTTTCTATTTGTTGCAGCGACTTGATAATGTGGATGAACCCTACATTAGTAATGGAGCAAGAGGGGGGGAAGATCCATCCGAATTTCTCCATCAAGGTTTTCATCCTTGAATCTGCTAAAAATATTACATATGTGAAGTCTGTGCAAGTGTCCCTTTGCTGACTTTTATCATTCTCAGCTGACGCGGAGAATATTACCTTGTTTGAACGTTTTGAATCATTCCAGGCTACTGCGGATCCGTACAATCGCTTTGAGAGGTTTTTTACTTCAATCATCCTTATTTTGTAAACGTGTGTTCTTCTTTCTCGGAGCATTTCATTTAGTCATTTTAATTTGAAACTTTTGTACTATGTATGTCAGAATTGAGATGCACTTATAAATATTTCCGTTTTCTCATAGATCAACTATGAATCCTGGTAGTTCATTCTTGAATCTTGAGTATGTGATTTATTATGATCACCTTATTTATGCGTTTCTCTTTGTGAATGCTGTGGCAGGTTTGATATCGAAGGAGATGAGGAAACACAGGTAAACGTAACTTCAGGAGATTACGCTCAAATTCCAACCACGCTCATACCCTCCCCACCTCATCAAGACGACCCGGCAAGAGGTGAGTAGTATAACAATCACTTAACTGCTTGTAAATACAGATTTTAAATAATGCAATTTTTTTTTTTTTTTACCATTTTGTCATTTAAATTATTGGTAGATTGGAAAATATGGAACACGTGTTTCCTTCCACCTTAATTTCATTTATTTTTCTTTCCCCCACATTTTCCATATTGTGTATCCTACCCATGTCGGTGTGCTTATGCCAATACTGGGATTTTGGTGAAAGGGTGTACTATATAATGAAACTTCCTTCAATATCAGCAAGTATAAATTCTTTGCCATCCATCACCAAGAATTTTTATCCACATTGCTGATTTTGTTATGCTGTCTCTTCCTTCCATTTGTTCTGTCTGACTCTATGAAATGGTTAAGTGATATGCTTGGCAATTAAAAGATTAGTTTGCTTTGATCTTTTATATGTTTAAACTCATGCATTGCCTTAAATGAATCAAATTGATAGAATACCAACCCGTTTAAACCTTCTTTTTGTCTCAACCCATTCAAGCCGCGGATTGAATAAGGTTCGCCATCTTAACAACCCTATCCAAAGATTTGATATTTATTGAATGTTACTTACAAGTTTTGTTTGTGAGATTGTAAAACATTTTTTAAGCCTAAGATGTTATGCAATTTTAAAGTAAATACAGCGGGTCTTTATAGCATAAGGATTGTAATAGGAGAGTATACTTAAGTTATATGCATAGCATATACTACTTGTGCATCCCCACGTTTCGCTCTACCTTTCATGGCAGAGGGGAGGATTTTTTCTTGAAATGACACTGGAAGGTTAACCAATCTAACTATTTTTTAGCTGGTGGTGTGTCAGTAAAAGTTTAGTTTGGTATCTTGCGTTGTGGCTCTTAAAATGCCATCGTTGCTTAAGACCTAAATTATTATTATTAGTATACAGTGATTATGAGACTGCATTTCAGCTATGTTGTCTTTTACTGTGAAAATAATTTCATGTATAAATTTCCCCCCTAGATCAAGCGAATAAAAGTACTGTAGAAATCAAGATTTCACATATTACTTGCTGCTATTGAAGGTGATTAATTTTTTTTACTAAACGTACTGAACTACTGATCCTGTTCAGCACCCCAACAGGGACTTATAGACCAGGTTTCTTTCCCTGTTCTTTTTGTCAGAGGATGCCCTTTCTAGATGAACTAAGACACTCTAATTTTAAGATGCATGCCCATGGAACATAGCGAGTGCACTTTGTTTTCTAGCCATGCATACAGTTATTTTCTGTCACTAATATTCTGAATTAGATTCTTTCCTTGCATTGTTGATCATTAAATTTCTCACATTTATTACTTATAATAACTAAACAATATCAACACAAAAAAGAAAAAAGTAAAGAAAAGAAAGAGAACTGCTTGCTGACATATAACTATTCTGCAGCTGATATAACTATAGACCAACATCCAGGACACCCCGTCATTAGTCAATCTGATGAAGGCATGAAAGCTAGACAGGTACCATAATTTTTAGCATTTCAATGACCATCATGATGCTGAGATAAGAAAAGGACCAACCTTAGAAGTGCAATGCAACAGGAACACAGAAGGCGAGGCCCAACTAAAAGGAAAAAAGGACAACCAGTGGCAACTGCAATGGATTATGAGCAAACCATAATTCCTGTTCATATATACCAACAGTGGCTTCAAAATGCTTCTGATATTGTCTCACGAAGAGGAAGAAAGAGAAAGGTTTTCAATTGATATCCACTATGCATCTAGAATTCCATGTATTTTGAATGAGATGTATATGCATATACATGGTATCAACCAGACACTGAAGAGACAGATCAAGGAATGCATAGTGCATCTTTAGTTGTTTTTCAGTTAAAGCATCTAAAAGATTTTTTTTGAACCAGATATTTTTAAAGGAAAGGTGAGTGGAGAGTTTAATATCATAAAGATTAGAAGAAGAAGGGGAAGCTAATCGAATTAAGTTTCCAGTTATATACCTGCACAATATAATACTGCTTCTCTCTGTTGCAGCGAACTGATATCATGTCTTCAACAAAGATAGCTACCCTCATGAAACTGCCACCCGTCGTGCTAATTGGTGATTTATTTACAAGTGAAAATAAAGATATATATTATCCGGCACCCATTCTTGAATTATGGATTAAGAGCACTCAACCACCCCATGATTCCCCCTCAGGTCAGTGTAAAGTTTCTCTCTTTTTGGGAAAAGGGGGGACTTCAAAATGGCGTAAGTTGTTATTGAGAAACTACTCCACTTTATATGAAAAAGGTTAAGCTGAAGGTAAAAAACAAAACACTTTTTTATGCAGAAAGGGCTTCAACACACCATCCTCCGGAACCATCATTTTCATCACCTCCGGGAGTACGCAATGAGGATTTCACGGGATTTGTTAAGTTTCATACATCAATCTTTTGGTTTGTTTTTCCATATTTTTGGAGGATAATGTAACTTATTTCTGATAAAATGTCCAAATGCGAAGCCTTTTGAAGATTTTGACGTTGGGCTAGACAACCAGTTATTGGCAGCTTCAATAGAGAAGCGGCGTAATAATAATCAACATAATGAAATTTTCATGGATGAGCTGAGGGCTAACCTTGACTACGGTTTGAGAGCGCCAGATGGTACTCCGCAGATCTCATCAGGGAAATCTGGTATATTTCATTATTGGATCTTCCATTTCTCTAAATTAATGATTGAAGTGTATGCCTATGATTGAAAGAAAATGCGAGATAATTGTTCATTCACATGAAATTCTAGGAGACAGCATACTTTCCTTTCCCAGATCAGTATCTGAAGATGGACCTGCCTCGCATTCGGAATTTGATACAGGAAGGTAGTATGATTCAGTTAAATGACAAACATAAACTGTGTAAACTGCTCATTGTAATTTCAAATTTCAAGGAATAGAGATAAGAGTTTTGGTCTTGTCGAAAAGATTTGGGGTTGACTGATACTTCAGATCTATTAACAGATTCACAAAGAAAAGGCATTCCTCATCTGGAAACAGCAGTGGAGGCCTTGAGCCAGTAGCTGAGAATGCAAATTTCAAGTTAGCTAGGCTGTCTGAAATTGGTCCCACACCTGATCAAGGTATATTACTTGTTAAAGCTTCTCTAATATTGGAAAAAACCTAGCTGTAGTGGTATAATCTTTATCCACTTAGCACATATGTCAGCCTCGTATGTTTCTTTTCAGAACTACTTGTGGAAACAGGACCCACGCAAACACAAGTGAACATCAATCATCCTGATGACAAGATCACTGATTCTATCCAAGCGTATGAATCTCTTTTGAGAAATATATTAATCTCCATTATAATGGCAATTTTCAGTTATAATAGCGCATATTTCTTGGATTTGAATGTGAGCAGGCAGATGAAAGCACATTTCAACACGCCTGGAGTTCCTCAAGTTGAATCTCTCGATATCCTAGCTGCTGGAATGACCCGGAAATCAGCAGCGCTGCTTTTCTATCAAACTTGTGGTATTTATTCATACTCCTCCAATTCACCTTTTACATTAATATTTTAATTATTAATAAACAGATCAGCACATCCCAAGTTACAACATCGTAACTCTATCGTGCGTAGTTCTCGCTTCCCGCGATGCCCTGAGAGTTGAGCAGAAGGTGTCCTATGGGGAGATTCTCATCTCTAGAGGATCAAAAATGTGATGAAGGTTTGGTTTGTTCCTCGATTATGCTTGTTTCTTCTAACTTTCTTCTTCTCCTTTGAAGTCTTAAACTTAAGGAACATTACTAATGTAGCTTGTTTTGTTTAACAGCAAGTGGTATTGATGTTTAATTTAGGCAACGAGAGCATTCCTCCATATGCAATCATTAGTTACCACCTATCCTTTCAAAATATTCGTAACTTTTTGTCTGGATTATCCAAATAGCTATTGCTATGATTAAAGATATTAGTAGTTTTTTTTTCCCTTCCCAGACAATTTGGAATATTGTTATATGTAATGAAATTTGATGAGATTATTAAGTTCCTCCGTCGCTGTCCCTACCTTTTTCCAAATTTCCACATTATTAAACTTACAACATATCCATACATTATTATGAAAGGGCAAGAGAAAGTAAATTAGCCGCAAAGGAAAGATCAAGGCTGATTCAACAAAACAACAATTTTGTCTGTATTGTCTAAATAAACCCTTGGTATATGTCTATGCTTTGACTGTCTAAGGTTCGTGTGCGATTGTCACTGATGATGCAAACAAGATTGGGTGGCATCGGTTTATCCACACGTTACTTTTCCTGTGGGAAAATGGAGGGAATATTTTGTGTAATTTTAGTATTTCTGCACCTCGCAGTATATATAGGTCCTAGATCACAATGACGAGAATCAATAGTACTTTTCTCCGCCACGAGATAGAGATATTCTACTGGGATTGGAATTCAAGAACGTATGAGCATCAAAATCAACGAAGTCAAGAAAGTATGATAAGTCAAACGCTATGATATAACCTACTGTTATTATTTTATTAATGAGAAAGTGGACAAATTGAGCCTATTGAGTTGACTAATTTAATGTAGCTTTTTAAACTTTTTATCGATGAATGCAAATTACTGAAATAATATAATGAGACGTATAGGAGGATTATTAAAATAATATTGTGTTCGAGTGGCACAAGGAGAGATTCAACGTCGGTGACGTAGTTTGTGGATCAAGACGCAAATGGAAGATAGAATAGTGCAAGTAATATATGTGTGGGGATATTTAAGTATGATGAGTCTCTCTCATTAGTTGGTAACGGGTTAAACAAAGAGTATATAAGTGAAATGATCCATAAATTCAATGCCTTAAGGTTTTGAGTTGAGATGTGGTGTCGAATTCACTTAATGTACTTGGAGTAACTTGGCTCATTGGGGGTGGTCCCTCGCCACGGGCTTTCCATGAACTCGCCTGTTAGTGATATCAGAGCCGAGTTGGGCACAAGCTAGCCTGTTGATTGGCTAGGATAGGGTTTCACACTTGAGGGAGAGATTGTTGAGATATACAAGTGTGATGAGTCCCACATTCGTTGGTAATGAGCTAAATGAAGAGTATATAAGTGAAAAGACCCATAAACCCAATGCCTTAAGGTTTTGGTTGAGATGTGGTGTAGGATCTACTTGGTGTACTTAGAGTAACTTGGTTCATTGGTGGTGGTTTTTCGCCACGGGCTTTCCCTGGACCCGCCTGACAGTATGCTCCTCCCCATGTGTGACTTGTACTACTTACATCATGTGCTGAGCGTGTCAAGCGACATTTTAACTTGAACGACCCACACTGCACTATTCTAGTAAATTATTTCACAAAAGCATTAATCCAGTAATTTTTTTTTTGAAATTTGCTTTAAATGGATCAAAACATTGCCCTATATATATTGTTATTAGAGGATCCTTATAAAACTCGACCTGATTATCGACTCGATTAGGACACTAAATCACTAGGTCACCAGTTCAACACGAATATATGCCAATTTCAAATTTGAGCCATGATTTATTACAAATCTACAACGTTGTAATCTATGGGCTTAAAACGTAATACCCAAATCATTACTAGACTTTTATAATAAATCATGCAAACAAATAAGTCTTTAATGATTTATGGGCTTCAAACATAAAGCACACAGCTTATAAATCATTAAACTGGTCACAACCAAAAGAAAAAAAAGAAGGCCAAATGCCTCTTTATTTTTCATATCCTCTTTCCTAACCCTAAAATTTTTCGTTGACCGCAACCTCCTCCTCACACAAAGGAGAAAATCAACCAATCAAACCCAACCTCCACAAATTGGTCATGCAAAGAAGAGAACCAACTTGTCTACAATCTAGCTCGATTTGCTGTCATTATGGGGTTTGAGTTTACCCACTACTTCTTAAGCAACCTTTATCCGTGTTCGCACCAAATCGATCAACAAACTTCTAGATCTACACCCCAGTGCCTAGATCCACCATCCACTACCTAGATCCGCCACTCGCAAGCCATTGGTGCTATCTGCCATGAAATCCAGTGTAGTTTATCATAAGGCTGAAGTTGCATAAGAAAGATGGACCCAGATCTATAAAAAAAATTTTCAAAATTGTATAATGCATTCAATTTTTTTTCAAACCGGTAAGTCATCGGATTTCATGAAAATCGACTTAGTCATACGGGTTCATACCAATTTACACCCATTTCAGATCATGTCCGATCCATTGAGCAATTCAAACTAATTGCCTAAATAGTTCATCGATTTACGGGTTGAACCAGCTGGTTCGAGCCCAATTTTTATAACATTGATTTTACATCTTATTTGATATAATTAAATGATTTGTTTTTTCTAAAATTACTTTAGATAACCTTATCTCACTGAAACGACATGGACGGAAATTATGGTGTTTTTATAATTTTAATTTATTTCAGGTTAATAATAGTCTTTATAATTTTAATTTTTTTATTTTTTAACCCCAAAACGACGTCGTTTCAATGAACATTAGACAAAATTATCTAAAATAACATTAGATACTTTTTTCCCATAATTAAATTATGAGAAATGATTTGAAATAATTATCAACTTTATTTGTAATTCTAAATTTCCATCTCTCGTCACTATATCTCTGTTGATCTGTTTATATGATAGCGAAAATTCATTTCCTATTATTATACATCAATAATATCTGTCTAGTTGCATGCACGAGTATCTATTGATCTGTTTATATGATAGCAAAAATTCATTTCCTATTATTATACATCAATAATATCTGTCTAGTTGCATGCACGAGTATTAATTAAAGGATTTCATTACTGTAATTTTTAAAGAATAATGTATAGGTAATAAATATACGTTAACATTTATTAATAATTCTAAAAATTATTATTTAAATTACACTCTATGCTTTAAAATATATTGGTTTTAAACTAAAGGCACAAGTGTTTAACGTCTCAAAATATCTGTTGAGATATTTAAGTACGATGAGTCTCATATTAGTTGATAACGAGTTAAATTAAGTGGAAGAAGAATCCAATGACTTAAGTTTTGGATTGAGATATGATACCAGACTCAATTGATGTATTTAATCCACTTAGTCCATTAATAATGATGTCTCGCCAGAGACTCCTGTAAACCACAATACCAAACAAAACCTGTGTGGCTGCGCTATTTACATTTGCACTTTGAAAATATATAGTTATTATAATAATTGTATGTATTTATTCATATATTCTGCAAGTCATTTAACAATATTTTAAAAATTTAATAATTTTTTGACCCATTCAAGTTCTGAAGATATACTGCAACTAACATTTCTACATCTGAAAGGACAATTCTAATAATAATCCATCACTGCAATTTTTTTTTTTTGTAATCTCATTCCTCCATTTCAGATTTGTTAAGCCACTAAAGAAGTTATCAATATTAAAAATTCATTATTATAAATTAAATATAAGATATTTATCTTTAATTTTTTTACTCATCTTAAACATTATTTTGTTTTCACATACATAAAACTCCAATTTATTAAATAGATAAATATATAACAAAAAATTAGTGAAATACGAAAAGAAAATATTTTCTTATAGCAAAGAGAGGGTATGTTATGAATGTTATGACTAAAAAGTCTAAGTAAGGGCAACTGTCAACCCTAGTCTCCCCTTGAGTTCTGTTCCCCCTTATGTCCGCCATTATAATCGAGATTTAGCGACTTATTATTAGCCTTCACTTCATGATGTGAAACCAATATTAAAAAATCATGCATTTTAAAAACGCACATGCCTCCAATAGGTAGGGTTATGAGTTTTTCCATTTATAAAAGAGAAAGTGCATGTGCGTTTTTCCAATTATAAAAGAGAAAGAGGGATAATGAATGACACTTGACCTTAATAACCCCTTTTTTCCATTTATAACCTCAAACCCCTTTCTCTCTATTTATTTTCTTACTATACTCTTTCCTCTTTCCTCTAACACTACTAGCCTTTACCAAAGCCTCCTTTTCTTTTTCCCTAATAGCTCATGTGGCCACCGTGGCTGAGTTCACCTAGCCGGTTCCGCAACACGCCACCACCGTCACCATCGCCGTCGCATTCTCGAGCCCGCTCCTTAAGCTTCTCCTGCTCTTCTTTCAAAGACATTCAGAGCCTCCTTCAGGACAAACCCGAACCCGAACCCGCCTCCCTCAAATCTCCTTCCCTCTTCCGTCGCGTTCGGATCTCCACCGCCGTCCTCCGCGCCTTGGGTGGCTCCCGCGTCTCCGTACAACCGCCTCACGCCGCCGCATTGCCGCCGGGCCTCGACCAGGGCGTCGTCGTCTACTACACCAGCCTCCGCGTGGTTCGCCGGACCTTCGACGACTGCAGAACCGTCCGATCGATCCTCCGAGGGTTCCGTGTCGCCGTCGACGAGCGAGATGTGTCCATGGACGACCGGTTCCGCGACGAGCTGCAAGGGATCCTCGGTCGCCGGAACGTGACGCTGCCAAGGGTGTTCGTCGGCGGCACTTACGTCGGCGGTGCCGACGATGTTAGGCAGCTCCACGAGAGCGGCGAACTGCAGCAGCTGATTGAGCGGTTGCCGAAGTCGAATCAGAACGGTTGCGAATACTGTGGAGGGTTTAGATTCGTGGTGTGTGACGAGTGTAATGGAAGTCATAAGGTGTTCACGGAGAAGAGCGGGTTCAGGAGCTGTTCCTCTTGCAACTCCAACGGCTTGATCAGATGCCCTGCATGTTTCTTTGTGGTCCCGCGTCACACCAGATAGTTACTCTCTCAGTTAGTTACAGCTCACAAACCACTCAGCGAACAAGGAAAAAAGAATAAGGGATACATTAATCATTTTTGTTGATAAATAAAATAAGTTTAATATGTTATATAGTCTGGTCTGGAGAATCTTCTAGTTTGTATATGCATATTATTATATATAATAATATGATATTAGGAGCCAGCTTTGATTTGTTATCATGGCTCTTCAACATTAGTGATTCACATGAAGCAAGCCATATACTTACGCCACACTACTCCTACGATATTTGTGGGAGGTTCCATGAGCAAGGAACAGGTGATGCCAAATTTGCTCCCAATGATCAATTCTGTTTTGCATAATAATTGCTCCCAAAGGTGTTTGCTACGCCGAATTTTGAAGAATTTTTGGGAAACTGAATTTTTTTAAATTTTAAAATTTTGCATATTATCGTAGACTGAATGCAAAAATTATATTTTTAAAAATTGAGATTTTCGGACAAATAAAAGTTTCTCCTGTACCAAACGTCACTAACGTCACATTAGGTGGTGGGAACCACGCTCATTGGGCTTTGTTTAGAATCTGGCCCAATTCTGTATTTTCTTGCTTTTTTGGAGCACGAATTTGTTCACCTGGCCCAGTTTTATATAAACAACGACATTTCTAATTGATTCTCATGTCGCCCACGTTTGTAGTTTGTACATGACCCCAGCTTGTTTGGCAGTTTTTATTTAGCTATCAGTGAATGGGTTATGTTTATCTCATTTTACATGAGATAAACATCTCTCCTACACACACAAAAAGAGGTTGGGTCCCACCACTTTTTTTTTCTCTCTCCTCTTACATGTGAGTCCCACTTATACTTTTGTTTCTATAACATAAGATAATTCTTTTCCTATAACATAAGAAAAATATATCCCTTAGTGAATACGAGATAAATTAGAAGAGAATTGATAAATGTTTGTTTAAATCGATTTCTCAAAGTACACAAAGTAATTGTATAGTTAGAAAACCGAAATTCTTGGCATTTTCTTTTATTTTCTATTCTGAATTATAACCAATACGCCAAACATGAAAATGAAAAATTTAATTTAATTGAAGCTTTACATTTCCTATTCTGCCCTCACTGAGCTTTGGTTTACCAAGAGGCCGACTTTTAGAAAAAAGTAACTTTTTATGTCTTCTTTATTTTAAATTAAAAGTGTTTTTCACAAAAGTGAAAGTTATTTATATTTTTATAAAAATATTTGACTTTTGACTTCTGCTTCTTTAGAAGTTAAAATTTTTAACTCATAAAAAATAGTAAATTTTTGATTTTTTTTGAGACTTGTGCTTTTTTAAAAGCAGATATCCAAACAAATTTAAAGTGAAAAGTATTTTTTTCTTAAAAAAAAAGTAATTTTTGGAGAGAAAAAAAAGTCATTCGAACGAGCCTAATTCAATGTGCTTAGCCGTGAATTTAAACAACAGAAAATGAGGCAATCGTGTAACTTGTGATATAAATAAGCTCAGTGCAACTAAATTTGTTGATACTTAGGCCCATTAACGTATTAAACTTCTGCTTGGGCGTTGATATGATAAAATATAGCAAAACAATGTATTTGCACCAGCTATATGTTACATTTTATTTTATTTTTTCCTTTCATTTTCAGTCTTACCTAACACACTTGAGTATGGTATTAGAAAGGTAAAATTTACCAAGTATTCGGACATATAGAAGTGTAGATACATCTCGCGTCTTCATTTGTCTCTCCAGATTCTCTACCGAAAATAACCTAGATATAATTTATAAGCATCCTAGGAATAACTAAATAATTGCGTATTCACTGGCCGTACTAATAATAAGTTTGATTTTCACATTCTGAATTCGTTCGTGTGAGTTGATTATTCTGCTCTCTGATTTATTTCAAAAAAACTAAAAGTAACGTATGAGGTTTGGTGATTTGGAAAAAAGTTTTTATTTTTCTTAAGAATAAGTGTGAGTGGAAAGATTATGTCTCATGTTAACAAATGAAGAAAAAAAAATTAGACCATATAAAGGAAGAAACTTTATTGTCTTAGGGGGAGTTTGGTAGGATGGAAAAAAAAATTTGTCTAGGAGAGTGGAATGAGGAAAATAAGTTAGCCATGTTGGTAGAACTAAAATAAAAAAATGGATTTCCCACCCGAGGGGTAGACTAAGTTGAACAGTGATGGTGCCTGCAAATGGGACACGAGAAACATGGGCTGTGGAGGTGTCATTAGAGATGGGACGGGTACTTGGATTGCTGGCTTCTCGAGGAATCTGGGGAAAGGAAACTCCCTCACTGCTGAGCTTTGGGGAGCTCTTACGGGGCTTGATTTAGCTTGGAGGAAGGGTCTTAAATTTGTGATTTTAGAGGGGGACTCTTCTACCATGATTCATCTCCTGACTAAAGGCTGCGAGCCCTACAAGCCGTGTTACAATCTGGTTTCAAGAATTCGGAATCTTATTAACAGATCCTAGAATGTGATCATTTCCCATTCTATGAGAGAAAGTATTGAGGTTGCAGATTGGATGGCCAACAGTTCCTTGTCCCAAGGCTGGGACACTATGATTTTCGAAACTCCTCCTCAGGAATGCGCTCTGTTAGTGCTGAACGATTCAATGAGATTTGTCACTATGTAATTGTTTTTTATTTCCTTCTATTTCAAAAAAAAATAAAAAATAAAAAAATGGATAGCAACATTTTTTTACCGAGCAGGATGTTTCGTACATGATAGCTCCACGAAATTTTTCCATCCAAGGTATGGTAAAAAAAGTTGATGCCAGCAAGGGAATGTAAACTCAGCTTTCACTTTACCAAAATATCCTCCAACCACAATGTATGAAACACTTGTTTAGCTGTTCCTCGTCTTTCTCTTCACGGTTTGCCTTGCAGATGTTCAAAAGCTCTAATTTTTTTATGAAAATCAATTCATTTTGTCTTCGATTGGTTATTGTTGACCTGTTTTCTCACCTTACAGTGTTGACGAGGACGCACAACAGAGGCACATTCCATCTTCAAAGGATACTTCTTTGCAGGTACGAAATCTTTCTTCGAGTTCCTATTTAATCTCTATACGTGCTCCATTGTTGTGGTTTGGTGTGGTTTTGTTTTTTTAATCTCGTTGTGTTGCTTCCTTCTGTGTGAGAGAACCCACAACAATGGTAGCAGACAAACAAACGAAAAAAAGAGAGGGGAGGCGGACAAAGCTGAGGTGACGTTTTATTTAGTGGTGAATTTCAATTTTCAAACTAGGGGTAATTTTATAACTCTGGTTAACTTTCCCATCAATATTTTACAATCATCCAAATATAACATTAGTAAAATTCATTCAATTTTTTCGAAAAAATTTTAGCCTACCAAATACTTTTTTTTAACTTATCCGGCAAAAAAATTCTTTCCACCATATTCTGAGCAAATTTGTTTTCCTGGTTAAAAAAATTTCTCCTATACCAAACGCCCCCTTAAAGTTTCGAAACAAAGAGTAACTTTTAACCTACTATTTTATGCTTTTTACTCACACATGAAAAAAGGGTATGATTGTATCCAAAAAAAAAAAAAAAAGGTGTGATAAAAAAATTATTTTAGCTATTTGCACATGAAAAAGGATATGATACAAAGATGGCTATGATAAAAAATTAAGGTATCCAACAAAAAGTATAAATACTATTAATAACTAAGAAGATTAGACAACATGAGATGATTTATTCATCATTGAAAATCCTAAGTGGTTCTGTAAGAATAGTAGTGGAAAAGTAATAAAACAAGATTTAATGGGAGTAAAAATTACATTGACTTTTCTATTAACAGTAAAGGGGATATACCGATTATTTTTCATATTCCAGTCTCCAAATGACTTTTTTAAATCATTCTTTTTCATATTTATGGGAAAATCACTTCTCCTGTGAAAGGAAGGAGAAGAGACTTCTTCTGCCGCCGGTGCTTGAAAATTATACCTTGCTTTTATTCTTTTTTCTATTTTAAAAAAATGTGGCCTCCACTTTTGGTTCTCTCAGCTGCAATCTTGTCAATTCTCTTGTGAAAGAAGAAATGTAAAGCCCTATATTTATTTTACCTATTTTTTTTTATATTTTATTTACTTTAATTATTATATATATTTTTCTCTTATTTATTTTTTATTTGGGTTCATCAAACCCGAGATTTCATTTAATTTTGGGGGGTTAAATGTGATATTAATAATGATAAATATTAATTGTATTTTACCCTCTAAATTAATCTTTCTGTTTTTCTTTCTTTGTGAAAAAGATTCTTTTTATCTAATTCTTTAGAAAATCAAATTCTTTAGAAAATCAACAAAGTATTAATCAATTATTGTGATTTTATATTTAATACTAATAAACAAGAGACAATATTAATAAAATATTTTTTAAATTTTTAATAAAAAAATCAATCAAATGGATTTATTTTCTTTATACTTAAAATTATTTAATAACTTTATATTTTTTAACAGCAACCAGACAAATAAAAATAAATGAAAGAAGGTCTACCCAAAAAAACAAAAAACAAAAAACAAAAAACAAAAAAGAGAATGAAAGAAGTTTTGGAGGGAAAGTCTGAAGTCTGAACTCAAAGTCATATCCACTAAATTGATGATATCATAGTGGGGTGGGGTCTTTTACCAAGTCTACGAGAGAGACAGACAAAGACACGATGTTTATATATTCTCACTGTATAGCAAAGTCAAGTGACCACCGGAGCATAATATTCACCAAAACTCACCATCTCATTCTCATATCGTGTCATCTACAAACACAAGCTTTCATTCATTACACATTGCTATCATTTTCCCTTCGTCATCCACATCTCAGCCATAACTGCCGTTTTATTAACAGTCTTGTTATTTGTTAACAGTCTTCTCGTAGACTTGTTATTTAATTAATTTAGCTACTTAAATATTTACTGTTAAGTAATTTTTTTTTTGGAGATAATTTTTTTTTTATAATTCTAATTTATTTTAGGATTATATTAGTGTTTGTTTTCAATCTCAAAATAATGTTGTTTTGTGTTTTATTTTCTGTGAATGGAGAAACATTAAACTTTTAAATATATATTATTTTTTAAAATTAGGAATATTTTACAATTGTGTAAATCATACTAACAATTTTGGTCGTTAATTTTATTCATATCTAACAGCTAAAATTTATTAAATATGTGAGCTTTAGATATAAATAAATCAATGATCAAGATTTATTGTGAGACTTCTTATTTTTATGCTGGTGTAAAATTAATCTACTTCTATTTTTCATAATTAATTATTTTAAAATTGAATCTTTCAACATAAATTCTACAAAAGTTTAAAAGAAATGAACCGTTAAGTCTGTTTGTTTTACCTTAAAATCACATTTGCGGTCATAAAGTTTGTTTGTACAAACTAAAGTATTTTTTTTTTTTTTTTTTTCATTTCGCTTGAAGTTTGTTTCGTTGGGATTAAGCTCTATTCAAAGTTCGTTTCTCGGAAAAAAAAAAAGATTTGGGTTGTGCATTTTTTTTTTTCCCGAGTTTCACGTTGATAAACAAGAAGAATGAGCAAGAACAGGAAGCTCCATCGGCCAAGGGATCTTTGTGGAGCTTTGCGTTTTGTGGCGGTGTGCTTGTTGTTTCAGAACTTGGGTTTGTGCAGTTCTTTAAATGAAGAAGGTAGTGGAATTTTGAGTACATTGAATCTTGTGTTCTCCTAGGATTTGTTGTGGGTGTATACCTGGGAAGATGCTTAGAAATGATTTCTCTGTGCAGGTAACGCTCTTTTGAAGTTGAAGCAGAGAATAACGAGTGACCCTTTTGGTGCTTTGTCAAATTGGATTGATGATGAAGCTGCTTCTGACCCATGCAATTGGTTCGGAGTTGAGTGCTCGGATGGAAGAGTTGTGGTCTTGTAAGTGATGATTCTGTTATCTGTTTCTCAGAAACTGAATATATGTAACCAATTCTGTGTTCTACGTAATAGTGTTTTATTATAGTATCCCTGCAATTGAAATTTACCTTGACCTTGGTATTGACTCGAGTGATCAACTCGTGAGACAGTGGCAATTATCATTACAGTTTTTGAACATTAGCCTCTAATTCTAATATATTAAATCAAATCACTAGTGTTCATATTGTTGATCTTGAGATGTTTTTAATCAAGGGAAATTATTCCTCCTGCCCAGGAATTTGAAAGATCTCTGCCTTGGAGGAACTTTGGCACCTGAGCTTGTGAATCTTATTCACATAAAGTCTATGTAAGTAATTGTTTGTTGCTTGGTTTCATTGTCTATTCGCAGTTCCTTCCTTAATGATTTATATTTTCGCCTTCATTCTAATAACATCACCATGAGTATGCTGCAGTATTTTGCGGAACAACTCTTTCTCTGGGACCATCCCTGAAGGAATTGTAGATTTGAAAGAATTGGAGATTTTGGATTTGGGATACAACAATTTCAGTGGACATCTACCTGCTGCTCTTGGCAGTATTATCTCACTAGCAATCCTGTAGGATGATACTCTTAGGACAGTTCAATTTTCTCTTCTTTTTTTTTTTGGTATACAAAAAAAATTTATGTACTCAGTTTCTTCTTGTTACAGTTTGCTGGACAACAATGAGTTTCTTGTTGGTTTCTCTCCCGAAATCAATGAACTGAAGATGATTTCTGAATGTCAAGTAGATGAAAACCAGCTAACTAATGCAGCTAAGATGCCAGGATGTACTGGAACATGGTATGTTACTAATCAATTGAAAGGTGGTCTTCTCTGGAATTATATCTCACGAATAGTCTTTCACGTATTTCTTATGCACTTGTTTTTGTTGAGATATACAGTGATACATTGGTTGAAGGGCAACTAAGTGGAGTTTATAAGGTCTTGGACACTCTCACCCTTTGAGCTAGCTTTTGGGGTGGTGACCTCAAGGTTCTTAACATGGTATCAGAGCTTGAGGTTCGATCCTCACCGCCCCCCACTTTAACGTGGAAGCACAAAAAAGTTAAACCAAAGATTGGGCCTGTTGCATAATCCACGCTTCAAGCCAAGAGGGCTCTTGCGTGAGAGGGCGTGTTGAGATATATAGTCTCACATCTCCCACCCTTTGAGCTAGCTTTTGGGGTGGTATATCCCAAGGTTCTTTAACAGCTTTCTCTATTATAAGTTGTGCCCATTTTATGCTATTTTAAAGTAATCTTTGTTTTTTAAAAATTAACTTTCTCTTTTTTTAAGGCATGTTGGTCAAAACAAAGGAACTCGGAGCCTGCTGCAAAATTATAATCTTGATTTTCAAGACCATCGTTATCACGAGGCTAATCCACATCTCCATAGCCCTTCTCCTTCAGCTTCCCCTAGTCAAAATACTTTTGATTCTCTTCCTACCCTGTCACCAGACTCTGAAGCACCATCTAAAAGCTCCTCATCAAAGAATGATCAAGTCCCTATTTTGGCCGGAGTTATAGGTGGTGCTGTATTTCTTCTTATTTCATTCATTGGCATATATCTTTGTAAAACCAACAAGGTAGCTATTGACATACCATGGGCCACAGGAATAAGTGGACAGCTTCAGAAGGCGTTTGTGACTGGTAAATCTAAGCATTTATTTTCCTCTAAATTAGTCAGTAAAACAATGGCTCAAACCAACAGTTAACTTACACTTGCATACTGATACTGACTCCATACTCATAAAACATGACAAGGAATAGTAACTTGTTTAACTTAATTTCATTGGGTCCTTAGTCATCTAATTGATCTATCTTGAATGACTGCACTCCTGTGTCTATGAGTTATATTCCTAATGTTCATATGCATGTTTTTGCCTTTGTACATGCATGACAGAGTTTCACATTCTCAGGGATGCCGAAGCTAAAGAGATCAGAGCTTGAAGCTGCATGTGAAGATTTTAGTAATGTAATTCGTACTTCACCCATTGGTACAATGTACAAAGGGACTTTGTCTAGTGGCATTGAAATAGCTGTAGCTTCAGTTTCGGTTACATCATCCAAGAATTGGTCAAAGACTTTAGAAGCTCAATTTTGTAAGAAGGTATCGATTATCATTACCAAAAATAATCAACAAAATTATTTGTAGGTTTGCAATTTAAGCATTTTAATTGTAACTAACTTTTAAAGCAATTATGGTTTCAGATAGATACATTATCAAAAGTGAACCACAAGAATTTTGTCAATCTTATTGGATATTGTGAAGAAAACGAGCCTTTCACCAGAATGTTGGTTTTCGAATATGCCCCAAACGGAACACTGTTTGAGCATTTACACAGTGAGTACCTATCATTTTGGAGTAATTATTACATTGAAAAGTGTCTTTTAGCAATTGTATAACCCCGTGGGTGAAGCACACCCTAGCTTTGCCGTTGGGTCATGTGGGCGCGGTAAAAAACGACACCCTTTAAAATTGTTGCTGTTTTCCTAGCCCACCCCACCATCTTGACCCATTGGGTTGGACCCATTATTGAGGAAAATATAGCTTGCTTGAAAGGCTCTTCAATTAGAATTTGAATTATATTTGCATGAGAAGTTGTCATTACGATATATTTGAAATGTAACCAAAATTAGCTTCCTTGAACAAGCTCTCCAATTAGGATTTGAATTATATTTGCAGTAAAACTATAGTAAAATACCACGTTTCACTTTAAAGAACACAATTTTGTATTCTTTAAATGGATAAATATTTTTTCCATGCAATATATTAAAAACTATATGCTTGTTCTCTTTCTTCTATGTCAGTCTCCTTTTCTCTTTCCGAAGCAAGAATCGTTGCTTTTCAAGGATTTTTTTTTTTTTCATCCCTTTTGTGTTTAAGTTGGGAAATGGCTGATGTATTTGATCTTGTTGGGAATTCCAGTAAAAGAAGCTGAACACTTGGACTGGGGAACAAGACTTAGAATTGCAATGGGAATGGCTCACTGCCTGCAACATATGCACAAGTTGGACCCTCCTATGGCCCTTATCAACCTGAATTCTTCAGCTGTCCACCTGACTGATGACTATGCTGCCAAAATCTCGGATTTGAGTTGCCCGAAAGAAATAGCTTCAGCTGAGACAAAAGCTGAGGGTAGAGAACACATTGACATGCCATTAGCAAGTCCACAAAGTAATGTTTACAACTTTGGTGTTTTATTATTTGAAATCGTTACTGGTAGGCTCCCTTATTCAGTGGATAATGGGTCACTTGAAAACTGGGCATCGCACTATTTACAAGGGGACCAGCCCCTCAAAGAAATGGTGGATCCAATTCTAGCATATTACCAAGAAGATCAGCTGGAACAAGTGGCTGAATTGATTAAATCTTGTGTCCATCCTGATTCAGAGCAGAGACCAACAATGAAAGAAGCCAGTGTGAGATTGAGAGAAATAACAAAGATAACACCTGAATTAGCAGTTCCTAAACTTTCTCCACTTTGGTGGGCAGAGGTTGAGATTTCTTCTGCAGAAGTACGCTGAAATCAGTAAATCAGATTCCAAATGTATGATTTTCATCCTTTTTCCTTCGGTGAAGGCACAAAAAATTTCTCACTTCTTGTATGTATTGTGTCCGGTCACAAATCGATCACATGTATATGAAGGAGACAAAAAATGTGAAGTTTTTTTGGGTGCTTCGATTAATTGTAGTTTATGGAATTGCTCCAAGAAAACAGCTTTCATATATCAGTTATTTTCAAGTCAGGTCCTATGGTTGATCGAGATATTTCCAACTCTTCTCGCATCCCCTCTATTTCAAGGTTCTTTACGTGATATCAGAGTCTTGTGGAGTTTCTTAGTACAGGTAGGCTGGGCATGTTGCATTGTACACTCTTCAGACCCAATGGGCTCTTGTGTGAGGGGACGTATTGAGATATATAGTCCTACATTGGTTGTATATGCAACTAATGTGACCTTTATAAGACTTTGGACACTCTCACTTTTTGAGCTAGCTTTTGGAGTGGTCACCTCGAGATTCTTTAACACCCTCCAAATTTGCATCTTTCATTAGACCACAATTTGTGTGGACCAACACATAGCTCAATAATCATAGTCGTGCTCACGTTCATTGATCAAAACTATTAAAGTATTAACAACTGTGAGAGCCTTTCTTCTGCATTTGTTGAAGGCTTTGTTTTGAAAATAGAGGGTAATAACTTGTTTAGATACTTTTATTTTTAAGCTAGAAGCTACTTATAAGCTAAAGCTAAAAAAAAAACTTAAAAAAAGAAGTTAAAAGCTGTTTGAAAATTACAAACAAATTTTAGTCTAAAAATTACTTAAAAACACATATTTCAAGAAAATTATCTCTCTTTATCTTTATCACTCTTTATTTTAAAAAAAAGTACACAATTCAAGAAAAACAGATAAGAGCTTAAAAAAAAGCTCCTCCTAAGAGCTTTTAGTTTTCAATTTTTTTCTTTATTATAAAAAAAAGAACTTTTCGTTATAAGAGCTTTTCTCAAAATCAGTTTGACCTAGTTTATGCTTATAAGTAGCTTCTAGCTTAAAAAAGAGAGGATCCAAACAAACAATAAGGTTTGTGGGGTGCGAGATTGAAGTCTCCTTTAGTGCTTGTCAATTAAGAAAAGTATGAACTGCGTTTGATAGCAAATAACTATACAAACTTCCAATCTGTTGCCAGCCAAATAAAATGGATGGCAGAAAATTTACAGGGTAATTATTTGCACCATTCAAGAAAAATCAACAACGCTGAAGAAGATTAAAAGTTCTGCGTAAAACTATTTCATGTTGAGCACAATAAAAATTAAAATTTACAAAAGTTGTATCAAAAATCAAATATCAATGTGGAATCCATTTTTTTAATGCTTGACATGGTACAAAGGTTTCCACATTTGTTTGAGACATTATTGGGTAGATGATGTCATACGAGTTCATTTTTTGTGTATTGGACCAATAGTAATATGAGTTGGTTTGATACTCTGGGGCTCAAATTTTAAAAAGTCAAACAAACTGATATTTTTTATTGGATTAGTACATAAAATCCTTATTACAACGCGTTTTCTAAGAGTTTTCTAATATACAAATAATTTGAAAATATATACACGCACGGTGGAAGGTGGCCTTCACGTAGACAGGTATATATGAAGAATGAAATTTATTGGTGCTTGGTTGCATTGTGGAGAGCACGTTGATCTTTATTATCAACACAGTCTCCATATTACTAAAAGTCTATATATACCAATCTATCAAATGCCTCTTCAATTAAAAAAAAAAATCTCTTGTATCTGAAACTCTTGATATATAGTCCTTTCACCCTTGTGGGAAATGGCTGGCAAGAGCTTCATTATCCTCTTTGTCCTGCTTCTTGTGGTTGCCTTCCCTAACATAGAAGCTGGTGAAGATGCTCCAAAAATAACAGAGAAGAAAGTAGACGTGGTGGTGGAAGCCATGGTGTACTGCCAGAGCTGTGAGCACTTTGGAACCTGGTCTTTGACTGGAGCCAAGCCCATTCCTTCGGCCAAAGTAAGTGTTACCTGCAAAAACAACAAAGGTCATGTTAGCTACTATAAGGTCTTTGACACAGATAAAAACGGTTACCTATATGCTCCACTTGAAGGATTCAAGATGCAAAACTATATACTAGATCATCCTCTACAATCTTGCTACGTAAAACTGGTTTGGTCTCCTCTTGAAAGTTGCAGCCTTCTCTCGAATGTCAACTATGCTCTGAATGGGGCTCCACTTCGTTATGAGAACAAGAAATTGCATGGAAGTATTTACGAGGCTGTCATCTACGCTGCTGGACCCTTGGCTTTCCGTCCCTCTGATTGCTCACATATTAATACTACTCACAATTAATGTCCCACAACTATTTAATTATTTTTCTTCTTTTTTTTGGGGGGGGGGGGGGGGGGGGGGGGGGGGGGGGTGGTGGTGGTTAAGTTTGTGTTGATTTAAGTATTCAATATGAAATCGTTTTCTTTTAGTTGTTTTCCTCTGATAAACCAAAATTGTTTTAATTCTTTTCCTTGTAATAAAGAAATCAGATTGCAACCCAATGGGTGCTGAGTTAGTGGGGTTGGATATGTGTTCGATTCCCGCTGAATGCATTCTTGGATAGAGGGCTGAATCTTTAGCCATCACTGTTCTCCCGCACTCCGGATTAGTCCCATAGTCGGCTCAAAGAGTCGAAGCTCGTGGGGATACCAGAGGAAGCCAACTCGTCTCAAAGAGATAATTAGGGTTGGGTAACTCGAAAAAAAAAAAAAATCAGATTGCAATGTTACTGCGGGTATTTTTTATTTCATTTTGACTATTTCGTAAGTATTCACGGAGCCAGGGAGAAAATTCAGTTAGTGCCAAAAGATTTAATTAATAAAATCTAACTAGAACTAATATTGTATTATTTTTAAAAATCTAACTAATATTAAGATTATACCATAATTTTAAAAAAAAATATGTAGCATTTTAAAAAATTAGCCGTGCCAAGGCACCACCTAAGAGCCAAGTGGCTCCGCGACTATACAAAAGTTTGTTCAAATCAGAAGAAATGTTAAGCAAAGAGAACAGAAAACTCAAGTTTGTGTACCCCACGCAAAATCAGAGAAATATATTTGCAAATTACAATTAACACCTTGTTCCTAAAAATTCAATGGTGTTTTAAAATAAAATATCTTGTGAATGAACTTTTTAAAAGAGATGAGATCATAGGCTTAGTATGTCTTGTGATGGAGTTAGATGCAGAGGCCAAACTCAAGAATCATTAGTGAAGATTTTAACTTGTGTATTTAGACCTGCATCTCGATTAAAAAGAGGGACAATTCAGGGAATCAAATTATAATTAGGAATCCGCAGCCCGCAAGGAAGGTCAACCACAAAAATCCCCATAATGAAGAATTAATATAATCAAATTCTTATAACGGCTGATATTTTGGTTTAGGAAATAAACCGAAATTAGCCTGGCCGATAAAATCAAGTGGTGAGAAGAGTTAGCTCAAATAAATTAAATTCTATCAATTTTCCCGACAATATTGGTGATGGCAAACCTTGTTGATTTTCTAGCTAGCTCATCATCAGCAAGGATTGAAAACCCACCTCTAGGGTGTCTTTGGTACAACAATTTTTTTTTTTTTTTTTGTCTGGGAATCATGATTTCCAGTAATATAGAAAGAAATCCAATTTAACGGGAATGATATAAAAAAGTTGTTTGGTAGATGTAAATATTACTAGAAATATTTAATAATTTTACTGAGTATATGTTTGGTTGTTAGTAAAATATTACCGGTAATATATGATGATTTTACAAAACTAACCTTAACTTTTTAAAACATATTCTTCAACGGGTATTGATGTCTGTTGGGAGTATTATTGTCTAAAAAATATGTTGATCTGCTTTCCCTTCCCCCAGTAATCATGAAAACCACCTAATTTTTGGTTATCCTAACAGTAACTTTTTTTTGTAAAATACTTTACCGATAAACCTTGGATATCCGGGAATTAACTTTTAATACTTCTACCAAACATGGTAATTAACGATTACCAAATAAGGTTTACCAGTAATCCTTGTGATACCCTTGTACCAAACACACCCATAAAGTATTTTCTATAGCTTATGTGATTGTGTGCAATGATTGGTATATTGGCTTTGAGCTAATTGGATATTTCTATCATAGATATCTCTTAGCGCATACCTTTACATTAATACTCACGATCTACCTAGGACCAAACAATAAGCAAACCTCAAATCCATTCTATGCATTATGATATTCTTTTGAATGGTTTTTATGTGAGTTATTGGCTAGACATGCCTATGCAAACGCAACAAACCCACGGACAAGATCCCACATCAAGTCTCACCTCAAAATTTAAGACATTTAATTTATGGATCATTTCACTTATATGTATTATATTTAGTCCATTCATTTTCAATGTAAAATTTTTTATCACTCACTCGAATGCCCAACCAGAACTCTTATAATGGTTCCCCGAAACATGCTATAAATAGCATTCATCACCATCAAGATTTCTTGTGTGTCCGTAATTATGATAATTGTGGACAAAAACTAAAGTTACGCGGGAAACTATTTTTTGTTGCTCTCAATTAGACTTAAAATTCACAAAAGATATATAAAACTAAATCGAATATAACACTTACTTACCAAGAAGAAAAAAGAAAAGGAAATGTTGTTCTTAATCCATTTTTTTTTTTAAACAAACAAAAATTTACAGTATTATATTGGACAGGTTGACATGATACAAAGGTTTCCATTTGTTTGAGACATTCTTTGATAGATGTATACGTGTTCAATTTGTGCATTGGACCAATAGTAATTTTTTTTTTTTTTTTGGTTTGACACAGTGGGAGTCACATTGTAAAAACTCCAACCAACTGATAATTTTTAAATGCTTAGTACATAAAATAGTTATTTCAACATGTCTTCCAAAGAATTTTCTTATATATGAATAATGAGTGTGGCCCTCACGTAGACAGATATGAAGATTGAAATTAATTGGTACTTGGTTGCATGGTGGAGAGCACGTTGATCTGCATTATCAACACATTCTCCATACCATATAACCAACAAGCTATATATACCAATTATCAAACGGCACTTCAATCGATAAGCTCTTGTATCTGAAGAATTTTCTAGTCCTTCACCCTTCTGAAAAATGGCTCGCAAGAACTTCATTATCCTCTTTGTCCTGCTTCTTGTTATTGCCATTCCTAACATAGAAGCTGGTGAAGATGTTCCAAAAACAATAGAGAAGAAAATAGACATAGTGGTGGAAGCTATGGTGTATTGCCAGAGCTGTGAGCACTTTGGAACCAGGTCATTGACTGGAGCCAAGCCCGTTCCTTCGGCCAAAGTAAGTGTTACCTGCGAAAACCACAAAGCTCAACCAAGCTACTATAAGGTCTTTGAGACAGACAAAAAGGGTTACGTATATGCTGCACTTGAAGGGTTCAAGATGCAGCACTATATACTAGATCATCCCCTTCAATCTTGTTATGTGAAGCTTGTATGGTCTCCTCTTGAAAGTTGCAACCTTCTCTCGAATGTTAACTATGATCTCAATGGGGCTCCACTTCGTTACGAGAACAGGAGATTACATGGAAGTAATTACGAGGCAGTCTTCTACGCTGCTGGTCCCTTGGCTTTTCGTCCCTCTGATTGCTCTAACAATACTACTCACAATTAACAATGTCCCAAAACTATCCTTAAGCGAGCATTGACTTTCACTTGATCTTTTTTTTTTTTTTTTTCCTGGTTAAGTTTGTGCCCATTTAAGTATTCAATGTGAAATTGTTTTCTGTTATGATTTTCTGCGAAAAAAAATGTTTGTCATTTTAAATAATATAAATTTAAGTTTTTTTAAGAGAAATATAGATAGATATAGAGAAGGGAGATTTATATCTTTATTTTTTTTAGTTGGATACACACCTCTTTGTGTTTATTTATCTTTTATAAGGACTTAAATTTGTGTCCTTTAAAAGGATACATATTTTTTCTTAAATAAAATTGCAATAATTTTTTTCCCTATAATAAACAAATTCGAATATCCAATGTTACTGTGGGTATTTTTCATTTTTCATTTTGGCTATTGACTATTTCATAAGTACATAAGTTTGTACAAATCAGAAGGAAAGAGCAAAGAGAACATAAACTCAAATTTATACCCCTCGCAAATCAGAGAAATCTATTTGCAAATTACAATATAACACCTTGTTCCTAAAAATCCAATTTTTGGCTAACAGAACAGCACAAATGGTTCCCGGAACATGCTATGAAAGGCATTCATGACCGTCAAGATTTTTTTGTGTGTTTCTATAATGGATTTTACTTTTCTCATGTTGTAGGAGAGAAGTTATCTCATGTTGTGAGATAAATTAAGTGGAGCCCATCAATTTTAAAAAAAAGAAAAAGAAAAGAAAAGAGATGCACGTCTTTTTATGTGAGTGTAAAATGAGAGAGAAATCTTATGCAACATAAGAATATAATTTCCCTTCTATAATTATGATAATCGAGGATAAAACTTATTTATAGACTTAAATTCAACACTTTCTATAGAAATAAGAAATGATAAAGGCTCATGTAGAGGTGAAAAGTGGGAAGCGAGTATCGTCCTGTCTCACTCCATCCAGTGGCGGATCGAAGGGAGAGACGACGGTCAGCGGTTGTTCCTCCCTAAATTTTGATAATAATTATTATTATATATATAAAATAATATTTTTAATAACAATAGACTATTAATCTTAGTAATTAGCCCCTCCCTAAAAAATATTTATAATAGTTAATTTCTCTTATTAATCTTAATAATATTTGTAACTTTAATTTTTAATTTTTGTTCCTCGTCACAAAAATTTCAAAGTCCACCACGGACTCCATTAACTTATTAAAAAATGAATCTCGTGTCGTTTTACTTTTGAGATGGATTAAAAAACCCAACTCATGCTATCCCATTTAACAAATGAGGCGAGTTAACTTGCCCAGTCGAACTCATTTTACTTGACTCTGCTCATGTATAAAAAGAAGAAAAGAAATGCATCACCAGCCCCAGTCCCCAAGCAAGCTTGCACGTGCTTCCCTCCCTTCGTACAAGTATCTAATTTAGATATAATACTTATTTAAAATTAAATAATGTAACGAAAATGATTACGTTCCTAATACTTCGATAAGTGATTGGAATTTTATTTTTTTTAACTTCTCTTTTTCTTTAGGTTACTTTACAAAAACTCTTATAATAAATTTTTTTTGTAATGTCGAAAAAAATTAAAAATTAATTTTTTAGTTAAGCTCTTACTAACTTTTTTATTTTTTTGGATAAATTATAAGTATTTTTTATGGAATACATTCGTGTTCAGGCGAATTAAGAATTAAAATTTTAAATTCTTTTTAAAATAATATTATAAAAAATTGAATATATACTCTCTTCTCCACTTGTTCAGTTTTCATACGTCGAATTACCGTCATTTAATATTTTATAAACTCTTTTTGAAATAAGATTTAAACTTTTGAGTAATTTTAAGTTAAAAATTAATTACCAAACAACTATTAATTATTATTTTTAAGATTTAATTTAAAAACAGCTTTTAATTTAAAAAAAAATCCAAACTGAATATCTATTTTTTTTTATTGACCAATAATTGATTCAGTCGTAAGTCGTAACTAAATGAAATGGTAGAAATGTAAATTTCTTGTTTCTCAGTTCCTTTTTTATTAAGTTAATGTCTTCTGAGAAAAAAAAAAGAAAAAAAAAAGCGGCCTTTGTTGTCCAAGTTAGAATGATAGGGGAATTATCATCTACGCTAGACCTGCATCGCCGTCTCGCTGACCCGCTTTTACTCTCACACTCAATCACAAAAGAAACTTCCTCTGTTAAATGGCAAACACAGAAGAACCATCTCCTTCGAACCCTATCGATGGCGATGCGGAACACGAAGACGAAGACATTGACGAAGAAGAAGAAGAAGAAGAAGAAGACGACGACGACGAGGAGTTGCAGGAACCGAATCGGCGAATTCCGCAATCCTCAGAGTTCAAGCTGAGGGATCAGCGGTTCAAGGTAGAAACCCTGTCGCGGCGGTTGTCGTCGGAGCTAGTCCCTATCCGAGTCCACGACGTGGTGATAACTGGCAACACGAAGACGAAAGATTGGGTGATTGAGGCGGAGCTCAAAGGGATCGAGAACGCGTCCTCCATGCAGGAGCTTATGCAAGCTTCGCAAATCGCCATTGTGAGACTTCAAGGGCTAGAAATCTTCGATTCCTGCAAGGTTAGGCTCGAGGCAGGACCCCGAGAGCTGCCAAACACTGCCAATGTCATCGTCGACGTTGTAGAGACTGATAACAGCGTTTCTGGCGAATGCGGCGTTTATATGAAACCTTCGGTACACATTCTTATTCTATATTCTTCTCCGATTGCAATGTTTTTGCATTATATGTTGACGCAAAGTGAGAGATGTTATTATGATTTAAGGCATTGCTTTGTATAGAAACGTCTAATGCTGCCAACATTTTAGGCATGACCAAAATGACATATATGCTAAGGTTGGGAATGAACAAGAGCAAGGGAATCTAATTTTTTATTTTTTTTGTTTACTCTGTAAATTATTTGATGTGTTTGTAGGCTAGTTCTTGGACTGCTGAAGGTACTCTTAAGTATAAGAACTTGTTGGGTTATGGTGATCTATGGGATGCTTCTTTGGGCTATGGTGCCAACCAAGCAACAGAGGTGAGTGTAGGGGTGTATGCCCCTCGATTTAAAGGATTGTTAACTCCTATTGTGGGACGAATATCCATGCTTTCCCAAGATTGGCTAGAGTTTTCTTCGTACAAAGAACAGTTGCTGGGCGCGTCTCTTGGCTTGATCTCCACAAAGCACCATGACTTATTATACACTCTTGGATGGCGTATCTTAACAGATCCATCACAAATGTCATCCAGGTCTATAAGGAGGCAGCTTGGGCATGGTTTACTGTCATCTTTGAAGTACACATTTAAAATTGACAGGAGAAATTCACCTATTAGGCCGACAAAGGGATATGCTTTTCTTTCCACCACTCACTTTGGTGGCCTTACACCAGATCACCGGAGCTTGCGGTTTCTACGTCAGGTGTGACTAAATCCTTTTGTTGCCCTTCAATTTACTGTTGCACTGTAATTTTATGTGTCATGCATAGGACATAATAACCTTTCTATTGAGTGATAGCGGTGTAAGAAATATTTAAATAATCTTGGGAGTGGCTAGAATTCCAAATTGGTGCAGATCAGAAATTTTAAAATGAATTGATGGAATTAATAAGCTGAACATTAGGTTTGAAATATAAGATCTCTTGGTTATGGAAGGATTCCATCTCCTTTGTCAGAAAAGAAAATTTCAAAACCTTTTCCTGTTGTAGAGAATCTGTAGTACTATTTGTCATATTCTATCTATGTTGACATCATTCAGTTTAGCCGTTGTTGGTTGTAGAGATAGAGGGGTACTTGTTACTCTGCCTTGGGAGTTGGGACTATGCTCATATGATGAATGATATATTTGGCTATTTTCACTAAAAAAATTTTTTTGGCACTAGAACTTGATTGGTTTCTTATGGCCTTATGCTTCTTTGATTGGGTTCTATATCCGGCTCTTAGTAAGAGTGAGATGTTAGGATCTCATTTCGGTGCAATTGTTGATTGAAGGCTTTCACAAGTATGAGCTTTGAGGAACACATAGCCAGTTGCAGGCTTGCAGCCCTTTCTGTATGAAGTTTATGCAAAGTGCTATCTAATAATTGAATGTTTGGCAAATCAGTTCTAAGTGATTTGTGTGTTCTGATCCAAGGAGTTGTTATTTATGTGCTTGGGTCATAGTTCATGGAGGTGCTTGTGAGATTAGCCTATAGTTTAAGACATTCCTCCAAGATATACCTTGATGACCAAAAAATTGTACCTTTTGAACGATATCCTAGAACAGTCAAACAATTTTGTCTTCAGGTGCGCTGTTTCTAGAAGGTAATAGGTTCTGACTGAGATACCTTTTACAGCTCATACCACTTGGGGAAGTATAATAATCTGTTATGTCGATGAAGCCATACCATGAATGCATTTTAGTCAAACATTTCCCTTGTTCAATTTCTAGCTTCTTGGTTGATGCTAGTCAGATCAACATGTCAACTGTCATCTGATCTGACATAGACTTTCTCTCCTATAAAGTTTAAGTTTTAATGATTGGATTTTGCTTCTATTATGATTAATTGAGACCTTGGCTTAACTGGTGGAATTGGAAACAAGAAATATAGAAATAAGGAATCAAACTGTCCTAAAATAGATTTTTGTCATGTGTTACTGGCCATCAGTATAACTTGCATTAATTACTGTTTCTTCTTTCTTTCCACTTGTTTTTCTTGGAGTTATTTCACAGTAAAATGAACTTTTGCCTTTAATCTTCCTGATGCTTTGCCTTGTATTTTTATAACTGTAACCTGTGGTTTTAGCAAAAAATATGAGGAAAGGAAAAATAGGAAAAAAAAAAAAATCATCTGGTGTTAGCTTGTTTTCTTTAGTTTATTATGAATTTATTATTATCAGCTTTTTCTATAGGCGGCCAAGCTCTTATCTGAAGTAGTAAGTTAATACCCGGTGGAAGCTCATTAGAAAGAGTTCAAAAGGAAGATACTTCCAAACATTGTGTGTTTGACATTGTATATGGCCAGGGAATCGGTCACAAGACTCACAGTCTGCTCATTTTTTTATTTTATTTTTTATTTTTTTGGGGAATTGCTGAGGATGCTTTTGATTCTGGTAATTGTTGAGGATGGGACAGCCTTTAAGGCATAGACCATGGTCACAGTAATATATATGTATAACAATTGTGCTGTAATAACTCTTTTGCATTTTAATATTTCTTTTCTTTTCTTTGCTCTTTTGTTTTTTTAATTAATTTTTTCTTGAGTAACTCTGTTAATCATCTAAGGTCTAATGCAGGAGTTTGATGCTCGCTTTGCTGTCCCTTTTGGGTTTTATAATATAGCACTGAACCTTGGGATATCTGCTGGTGCTGTTTTTCCATGGGGGATTGGGTTCATGACCAAGCCATCTCCCCTTCCAGAAAGGTTTTATTTGGGTGGTGATTTCTCTCCAGTTTGCTCCCTAGGAGGACCAACAACATTATGGGGATTTAAAACTAGGGGATTAGGTCCTACTGAACCACGGAGACAAATTAGAAATGGATCTAATGATGACAATGGTGACTCCTCTGGATGGGACTTCATTGGTGGAGATCTTGCTGTTACTGCTTTTGCAGACCTCTCTTTTGATCTTCCAGTTAGGTGGTTGAGAGAACATGGAATCCATGGCCATGTTTTTGCTGGCTCTGGGAACACTGCTAAGTTAACTCAGAATGAATATATGCACTTCTCTCCTCGGAAGTTCTTAGAATCCTTTCGAATGTCGCTGGGATGTGGAATTGTTATTCCTACTAGACTCTTCCGCCTAGAGGTTAGCTTCTGTTTTAATTTTTTTATATTTAATTAAGAAGCAGGTCAAACTAACCAAAAGTAGGGAGAGAGATTGAAGTGGAATGCCAATAATGGAGGCAAAATATAGAGGACTTTTGGGGTAATCTTATTTGTTATATTTGGGCATTAGAAAGTATGAAGGAAAGGAAAGAAAAATGTAGAACCTTTCAAGCTAGAAATCTTGTTGCTTGTGTAATTTTCTTGTTTTTCTTCTTTCCCCTCGCTTATTTATTTCTGAACTGAGTGCATAATACTTGCTTATAATATATCTGCATGGAATCTGATCTAAGGTCTGTATTTGATGAGAAGCTACCTGCTATTTAATTTTGTATTTCAATTTAGTAATGTAATTTTGGGAAACAGCCTGTTCAATTGATAGTTGGCATTGTTCTCGGAATTAGTAATCTCTTTTTTGTTGTGCCCCTCCCCCGCCCTCCCAGTTAATTTGGTATTTACTTGTTTCGGATTAAAACTTTCTATGATTTAGTTACCAACATTCTTCTTGTTTCAGGGTAACTACTTCTACGTACTCAGGAAGGATGAGCATGATCGTGGGAAGACTGGATTTAGGTTCAGCTTCTCAGCTCCTTCGTAGCAGCTGATATTCTTTTTCTTTTTATGTTGTACTTCAAGCATTAAATATTTTTGCTGTCTGTCACTGCATGGACAGTACTGTATTTTTATTTTCTTCCCGTTTTAAATGCAAGAGAAAATCCACAGGGGCACTGTTTTATTACGATGCATTGGGTTAAGGGATCTGGTTTTGGTGGAAAGCATAATATGCCTATGCTCATTGCACGGCAAAGGTGTATGAAATTCGAAAATTATCTACTGAACTGTAGAAGGACGTGATTGCCACTGAGAATTCACCAAAAAAAAAAAAATTCGGCTTAGATGTGGAGAACTATCCACTCCCTCTTAATGTGGGTTAAGAGATCATCCTTATGATGAATATTGCTGCGTATCGTGTGTTTTTTTAAATAAATATTTTTAGTTCTTTAGAAAAGCCCGTAATTAGGCCTAAATATATACAGAAATTAGGGGCCCACTGTGTCTATTACAAAGCTGGTTTTATCTGAGCTGTTAAAGTATTTGTAATTTTGCTTTCAAAGAAGTATTTGTAATTTTCACACTATTTTTTTGCATTTGATGTAGAAGTTATATAATTTTAATCTTTTTATAATGATAAGTTCATCTCTGCAGTGTACAATGATGATTATTAAAAGAAAAGTCACTTTCCTTGTTAAAAAATTGTACAAACAACATATAATGTTAAGCGAACACCCAACACAGATACGTAATACATAAACGGGCCAACGATAGTAAGTAAAAAGGAAGAAACTAATTTTGTATTGCAGTGAAAGCATCTGATGACCAAAAAAATGAAATAGCGTAAGCATCTGGAGGTGCGAATAACACCCAAAGGCCTCGAGATTGTGACTGATTTGTTTCATTCATAATTTTTTTTTTCAATTATAAATTTGTTTAAAATTATTATTATTGTGAATATATTTAACATTCACTTCGGCATCTCCCAAAATTATTACTGAAACTTTAGTCAAAAGAGGCATCGGGATTCAAAGCTATTTATAATTCAAAGGTAAGCACAATTCTAATAAAAAATAAATTGATTTACTAAAAGAAAATAGTCTTAAAAGTATCTAAAGAAAAAAAAAAAGCTTAAACTACCATGAATAAAATAATAAAATTATCCTAAATGAAGATGTAAATCCATTCTACTGGCTAATTATTTAGCTAATTGACCTTGGGGAAAAAATGCATATAAAATCTAACATCATAATAGCCTAACTGGTAAAGTATGGAAGCAAATGTTGTCGACCACTCTCTGCAAGAAAATAGTATCCTGTTTGCGTAAGGTGCACAGCATCCCAGAACAGATACTTCGATGGATCTGAGCACGTTAGGTCAAGCACATTGCAGACAGGACCCATCTCGATTAGCCCTGTCCCACAGCATCCTTGAAGTGCTTGTTGAAAGCCTTGAAAAATTTATAAGCAAAATCAACACATAATGGGCGTGTAGATAAATAGAAATAGAAAACTCAGGGAGGAGTTATTACCGTATTTAGTGGGACTTAGGACCATATCCAAAATGGGCGTATAGATATCGAAATAGGCGACCTTGGCACCACTGAGTATGGTTTGCAGTAAACGAACATGTGATTGAAGCTTGGTGTTGTAGGCTTCAGAATCCACGTTCTGTTGAACGTTACACACACGCTGTAGCCAGTGTTGGCTTGGTAATATGCTGTTTATTGTCACTTGTATTGGCAGACACCCAATTGGTGGAAGACCTGCCACCATAATCCTACGAGCTCCTGCTCCGTACAGTCTCTGCAATACCCAACGATCAAACGCAATTTCATTATTGTTTCTCAATATATATAATGTGCATTCATTCTGATTATATTAATTTATAAAATTATAAAATTATCTTTTACACATGTATAAAAATATAAAACCCATGTGAGGCAGGAAAGAAAAATCAAGAAAGAGAAAAATTTGGTCCTACACACTTTTATATATCTACAAGAGATAACTTATTTTTAAAAGGTAATGATCCGTTTACAAACTTTTTTTACAAATTATACTAAGTATGACTGGTTCTTGATTTATAAGAGTTTGCAAATATAACTTTATCCATTTTTAAAATATGAAAAACTTTAAATCCTTATTTTATAAATGTAAAATAAAATACAAACCTGAATGAAAGAGTGAAGATTTTGTAGCAGGAAATCTTGGTAACCTGAAATAGAACCATAGCGAATAATCCTCGTTGGTAACAAATATGCATTGTATAACATATCATTAGTGCCAGTGCTGATCACAAATAAGGCATTCTCGATGATTTCATTAGCCTTTTCTACTCCAACAACCCTTCTCATCCTCATCAAAGCCTCTTCAAACAACTCAAATTGTGCATTCAAGTCCATAACCCTTGTCAAGGTCGCAGTGTTGATATCCAATCCAGAACCCCCAGAACCAAAACTAACCCCAGTAAGCAAATCATGATCAGTTATATGTGGGTCCAGATAAGCAGGTAACACTTCCTTAACGCCTAGAATTTGTGTAAGGTAATCGGTTGCTATCTTCCCATTCGAGAACCTTCCCGTTGGGATGTGACCCGAAAAGTCACGACCGTAGGGCAAGTGGTCACCGCGGAAGAGGGTGTTGAAGCGGTTGTTGTTGCCGGAGTCGATGGTGGAGTCGCCGAAGGCGAAGACTGCAGAGACAGGGTGAGTGGCAGTGGCTGAGTTTGGTATCGAGAGGAAGAGGACAAGAGAGAAGACGAGGAAGAAGGAGGAGGCTCTTATGGTTATGGAAGCCATGGCAGTGTGACCTACGTAGGTTGTTTTTCGCTTGAAAATATGGTATGCTACGTGTTGGAGTATTATCCTATTTATAGAGTTTGGGAACTATGAAAAAGACTCATAGATAAATGTAAACTCTTGTTGTATGATTAATTGGGTTTGATCAGGACTCAAGTTTGCATGATAAAGATCCTCACTTATCAGTTATTGGTTGACTTCAAATTGCAATTACCGGATTTTCAATTTTAAAGAAGCACAAATTAATAATATTGTTTACCATCGGTTTTTATTAAAATATATTTATATACGGCAAACTAAATTTTAAAAACCCGAATATCACTCATCACTTATCAGTCTCTGTAATATTTTGTTAGAGTGTTTTGATATGATCAAACAGAAGTAAAAAAGTTATCCAAAGTGTTTATGATCATATAACGACTTCAATTTATTTTATAATGAGTCAAATTATTTTTTTGTTTATATCTATATACATCGTAGATATCACTTTTAGCGTTAAGAAGTTACCCTGAGTTGCGGATACGTATAACGATTTTTAGAATTTACAAAGCCTTATCCCTTAAAGATAAAAGATGAATAATGATAAATGGTAGATTTTTTTATTTTTTATTTGAGAAATCGAAACATTTATTAACGACGAGAAAAATCATCAAAGAGTTTAGAAGTTACAGACAGTAGTTGAGTACAAAATATTTGCGATTTATCCTTTTTTTATATTTAAAAAAATAATGATTAAATATCAGAATGAGCAATACCTAGTACCTACCCAAATTTTACGCCATCCTTTGGGTATTCCAAATCCGTTGGGCTAGCCTTTCATTTATGTTTCCATCAATCAGGCCCATCTCTCTATCCCCTGATTCTGTGAGCTCGAACATCTTCTATTCTTTGACTCCCTAACAAAGAAACATCTTTTATTCACAACATAAAAGAAAAATAAAATAAAATACTTTTATTATTTTATATATGACGAGCGTGGCAGAGGGACGGTATCACGCGGGAAGAACTTGTGTTTAATAATTATAATTCTAATGGCCAAGCTTATATTATTGAAACACTTCTGGTACAAATTCTCAAAATGTATTTCTTCCTATATAAAATGGTTATTGTTTAACTCTACCTCATCGATTTATTTTTTAATTAATTTGAAGCTAAAAAAATATTATTTTCATAAAATAAGCTAAACTAATAACGTACTGAACTGTCTGAACAGAAACAAATAATTAATAAAAAATGAAATGAAATTTATTTAATTCCCCCCTAATTTTATGTAGATTTACAAAAGAATATTATTTGTTATTATTACTCACTCAGTGGAAAAAAATGAAAATTATTTCCCCAAAAAAGGAGAATTTAATGATAAATAATACCAACTTGTAAATTTCTTCTTAATTTATTGATATAATATAAAAAATTTATTTATAATTATCATTCACTAAGTGAGAACAAATAATCACTCAAAAAATAACAATAATCATTCATGTATTTATTTGAACTTCGTGTATTTAATATATAAGTTCATTTGTAACTGTTTTAATCGCATAATGAGAACAAATACCACTCTAATAAGTAAATAATACTCATTTGAAATTTTCTTTATAAAGATAATTTTGTCCATTAGATAAAATCTATTCATTTTTATCTCTAAACAAAATTTACGTAATGCTTCTTAATATTTTAAATATTTAATATTCTTGAGATTTGATACTCCGACCGACTGACCGGCCCTGAACGTTCATTGTCCATTCTATTTTATTTTATTAATTTAAGATTTGATATCAAAATAGACTAAACCAACCAGATTGTACTGCTTGAATTAATTAAGACTTTTGATTTGCAAAGCCGAATAGGAGTTGAATGTGTTTATCAAATTATCAACAGCACATGAAGCTAAAATTTCGAAAGCCAACATAGAGATATAGTCATAGACATGTAAATGAGTTGAGTCTAAAAAGATAGACATTCACATAGGTGCTAATTGATCAACTTTCTCAAATGCTATTTAAAAAAATGATAATAAAAAAAAAATAAAAAATAAAATCTAGTAAGCATTTGCTGAAGTGATAATTAACTCATCCTGGAATGATTTCCTAATCAGCAATCATTGTATCAAAGCAGCAAAAGCTTTTGTTTTGATTGACCTTCAAAATTTGCAACAACAAATGAACACCATTAATTTTCATGTATAGGATTCACAAAATATACATCTCTGCATCTGTAATGTAATGTCATTACAAACCCTGCTAGTGCTATCAGAGAGAATGATAAGCTAGAGAACAACACCTATTTAGCAACCTAAGCAATGCATCTGCTTTTCTCCTAGCTCTCAAAGAACCATCAGCTGCCAAGCTTTGAAGAGAAGGAATACTCCTTGGATTTGCCAAGAGACGTTTTGCAACAAGTTCCCCATCTTCTTTGCACAATCCTAATAGAAGTGTTATTGAATTTTCCTTCCCTTTAACTGACCCAAATCTCAGAAGATCAACAAGAAGGGGCACCAATGCTTTACTATTCCTTATCTCTTGTAGCCCCTGAGAGCAACCAAGTAGTAAAGAAAGCACAGCCAAAGCATCATCTGTTATGCCAGCCTTATCATCCATTAACAACTCAACCAACACAGGAACTGCCCCAGCTTTAACAACACATGCTTTGTTAGGATTATAAACTGCAAGATTGAATAGTGCAGTAGCAGCATCTCTTTTACCAATAGGAGTACCTTCTTTCAAGAGTCCAACTAAGGCAGGTATTGCCCTTGGACGAGCTCCTATTTGTACTTTGCAATCATCCACCATTGACAAGCTAAACATTGCTGCTGCAGCATTCTCTCTTGCCTCCATGTTCTTCCCCGATTCGAGTACTTCTACTATGTTATCAACTGCCCCAGCTGCCATGATCAAAATCTTGTTGTTGTCATAGATGGAGAGGTTGAACAAGGCCGTGACTACATGCTCCTGGATTCTTGAATCCTGAGATGCTAGAAGTGTAACAAGAAAAGGAATAGCCCCTACCTCAGCTATGATTCTTCGGTTATCCATGCCGGATTTTGCAAGTAACCGAAGTTCATATGCAGCTTGCCTTTGTGTATCAGCTGAACCAGTTGCCAATTTTCCAACTAGAAATTCTGCTGTCATTTTGACAGCATCTGCAGCTGCTTTGTTTGCAGAAATATGATCAATAGCATTCTCATTCATATTCTTCTTGCCCTTGTTGTTGTTTCCCTCGGAAAGTGAATTGGTCATAGGCTCATTCATTGGGACGTTGTTTTCATGGCACCATTGCTGAAGAAGACTCTTTAATGCGTAGTTGGGTATTAAAGCAGTGTGAATTAGCCTTTGCCCACTTTTGGGACAAGTGTGATGCCCAGAGTTTATCCATTGTGCAATTGAAGTTCGATCATAAGTGTGCCCAGATGATACAATGACAGGGTCCTTCACTAAATCAAGTGAAATTGGGCAACGAAATTCATCAGGAATACTAGGTGAAATGGACGTGGACTGAGAAGATGAAGAACTATCATGTATTTTATTATGAAAAAATGCAGATAGTGGCTTACTCTCTTCTTCACCTCCATCGTTATCTCCATCTCTGAATATCATGGATTTGGAATAAGAAACCAGAGATATGAGATTGTTTAGATTGGAGACAACAATTAGTCCTCCTGTGCCTGCCTGATTCTGAGCTTCAGCCTCTAACTTGGATATTTCTGTATCATAATCTGATAAGGTTCTCAAACCAATGCTGCTTAATATCTCTTCCACTTTTCCAAAGTCAATAAACCCCTTTCTCTTCTTGTTTTGTAAACTGTTGTTGGCCATTACTTGTAGAAGCTGTTCTCTTCGTTGAAGCTCTCTGGGATCAATGACTAACTCAGTTCTCTTTGCCTGTTTTTGCAGAAGCTCCACTTGTTCTCGTATATCTGCTGTTACGTTAAGCAACTTCAGAGGAAGGATATCAAGGGCTCTTCCCATCTCCTTTGCAAGCACATAAAATTGGTTTGAAATGAACTCTAACTGAATGAGACCCCAAAGAGAGCTTCCATCCTTGCACTCTTGGATCAAAACCTTCACTCTTCTAATTACAGAGAAGAGCTCTGTGAAACACAGGATTGAAGAAGGAGGAAGTGGGGTATCTGTTTCTTGAATCTCTTCGAACAAAGAAGATAGAAGCTTGATCCTCCTTATCATGGATGAAACATTCCTTATTTGTATGAAGGGAAAATTCTCCATTGAGCCAAGTTCATTGGATATGTGAATCAATGAATCTAGCAAAGACCCAGATGGTAACAAGCCTTGGGTGATCATCATCGCGGATAGAATATCATTCATTGTGGTTATAACCTTATGAGGATTTTTCTGTTCATTCTTTTGGTTGAAAAAATTAGCTTTCTGCAAGGATTTAGATTACTCTGAGAGGAGCTTCTGTAAGGCATTTTTTTTTTTTAATTAAAATAACATAAACTAATTGTCAAAGAGAGGAACTGTTTAATTAAACGCATGGGACTTTTGAGTTTTGACTCTTTCTATTTGTGCAGTTGGTGCATAAAAGACAAGAAACATATAAAATGAGAATAGAGGATTTATGTTGTGCTGCCACTTGGAGGGTTTTCCTTACTTGCAAGATTATCTAGATTCCCCGGCCAGCACTTTTATTCAAACACGAATATATTTTATTAATGACCCTTGTCAAACATAATTTTCAGCTGCTTCTTTACTTGCAAATAGTTATGTTCACATTCGAAATAATTAAGGATTGGCCGAATCAGATCTCCAAATGAATATTTTTTTCAGTGCAACTTGATATTTGATATATGTGCAGTCCTGCAGCACACCAAACCAGATGGATGCATAACATTTTATTTCCTTGATTTGTCGTTTCGGGAAAGTTGAGCATTACTTGTAAGATTATGACTCCTTGGAACCTAAACGGCTGATTCTGAAGTTCCTGCCTCCTCGCTACTATTTCTAACATCATATTTGTCGTTTCTGCAGGATCCGTTGTAGACTTGTATATGTTTCAACTTTCATGCTTCATTTGACCAGGTGTTCCTCCTCTTTGCAGCATATTAGATACCAAAAGCCACAAAATGGTGATTAAAAATATTGGGTTTGAATCCAATATCAAATCCACTGATATTGGTCTATTCGTGAGGAGTTTTGTTAGTCTGCATGAAATTATAGGTTCGAAGCTCAAAGCTCAGTATTATCATTGTATCCAAAAAAAATATTGGGTTGGACATTATCATAATGAAATAGCCATCCTTCTCGTGTGAGAATTGTGTTGTGGATATTGGACGGGTTGGTCACTAAGAATCATTTAAGGAGTTACTTCTTCATTTTCTTAGAGTGAGATTTTTATAACAGAGGATTTTATTTTTATGTTTTAGCACGCCTGTTTTTGTCTCGCATATAGAGTAAGGTTATTAGGAAAAAACAGTTATGACTCTCTCTTTTATGATTAGGAAATATTTTCCACCTATAAATATCTCATCTTCAATAATGGAAGAGACATATTCCAAAATAGAGTCTACGCATTCTTAATACCATTCCCATTTTGAGCCACCGCTTGAAATACTTACGGTGACTTTCACATAGAGCTTTATCCATATCACTACCTCTTTGAACATTAATATATCAAAATACTTGGTCATATTAAGAAAAACAAACATAATCTCACATTCACACTAATTAATAGTTTAGATTAGACTTTTAGGACTAATACTAATAGCTATTCAGTTCATTATAAAGATAGTAACAACCCTAGAAGTCCCATACAATCAATCTACAGTCAGACCAACAAAAAGTGGCTGGCTCTTTTCGTAACTTTCTAGCAAAATTTGTATTTTTCTAGCTGGTTCCTCTGCTATATAAGTCAAACATTTTGCGTCCTCCGGTTCAAATTCTTATAGTCACAACTTCTACAAACAAGTGAAGCTAATATACTTAGCTGTATAAATATGTCTGCGCGTGTGATAATGATTGGTAAACATTATATTAGACAAGAAAGACCACTTCACCTCACAATTTTTAAGTGTGCTTGTCTCCTCGACAGGGGAGAAGGAGAACAATTCCAATTGGCAATTGCCAAGGCTGTGTGGTCACCCTCTATTAGAAAATTAATAGGACCTTACCTTAAATACTAATATAATTTCATCTAAGTTTGAGGTTTCTGGTAAATTATCCGAATTGACGTGTAATTTGTCGGCACATGTCCTTCTTAGCATTCTTGCCAGCGATAAGATGATAATTTGTTAGAAACAAACATGGGAATACAACAAATTTTCAAAAGGGTTTTCTTCATGTGTGTTCTTTGCACATGTTAAGAAATCAAAAAATAAAATTTATTAAATAAAAAGTACAAATATTTAATGGATTTAATATTTTTATTTTTGCTTGTAAAAAATATTTCTTTGTCACACTCACATAAAAGTAAGTGGATTCTCTTTCTTCTCTTTACAACGAGTGTCATTCACTTTTATATAAATATGGCAGAAATAAAAATTTCTGCAATATAAATAAAAATATTTTTCTCATATTTAATATTTTACAAAACTAAACTGTACTTTACTTTTTTTTCTTTGATTGATTTGAATAAATAATAGATGCCATTTTTATTTCTTAAAATGTACTCGAAACACACATTAACAGTACCATTCTTAAAAGTATAAGACACGATACGATTGTTATATAACATATAAAAATTAGTATAAGATTAAGAGATATGTTATATTTTCAAACTCAAAGTTTATAAATTTTTACAAATTATGTTATGTATTATGGGTAGTACATATTACTACATGCTTAAATAATATGTACTATCCATAGTACATAGTGTAATTGTAAGAATTTGTAAATTTTGAGTTTGTAAATATAACCATTTTCTAAGATTAATATAAAAACATAAATCTGAAAATGAAAATTGATAATTGATAATTAGTTATTTAAAAATTAATATTAATTATAGTAGACATAATAAAATATTATCATACATTCAATTAAAAAAAAGTAAAATAATTATAAAATGTAACTACAAATATCCAAAATATTTATGGCAATTATTTTAAACTGCCATGTGCTTCCTTTGATAAAAAAAAATAAAAAAAAAGTACCTCTTTCGACTTGGGGCTCTAATCAAATGTCACAGACTCACAGTTTGTTCAAACTCAACGCTTTGTATACTTAAGAATTCAAAGGGAAGAAAATATATAGAAAAAAAGGAAAGCATATAAGTTAGCCACTTGTAGATATATAATGTATTTTCATGATTTATATAGATTCTGTTTCAACTCCCAATAATTTTAAAATAACCATGAAATCTTGCACTGTTGCACACCATTCGATCTCATTGACTTCATTTTGTCAACTTAAGATGTCGTATTCTTAATTAATACTTTTCGTACCTATGAGCCAAAAATATGAAATGAAAATGAAACTCTTTTTACTCCCCACTCTAAAAACTCTCACACTGTATTTGGATTTATTTTAATTAGAACGGGAAAGAACAAGTGGGAATGGGCTGGGAAAAAAATGGTGAATGGTGCCTCAACATTGTTTTTAGCCCATATTTCGCTTGGCTTACAATTGACATGGGCTCTCAATGCCTCAAACTCAATCAAGAGTCTGCCAGAATAAAAAGCAATTATGTCAATGCCATCCAACGTGTACAAGGATTTGACTTTACTTCATTCTCAGTGATTTACAAATATCTTAATCTTACTTGTTTTAACTTTTCATATTTTTATTGTAACAAAAAAAAGGCAAAAATATTTGTTTTTAGTGAAGAAAAATGATAGTTTTTGTACGAAAACTTTTTAACATATCTCATAACCAAACTCCATATAATTTTTAATTCACTAAATAACAAATTAAATCTAGTTTAAACAGAAAATTTCAAACTATGCACAATCTTTTCACAATTTTGTGACAATTACTTTCCTAAAAAAAGAAAAAATATGCAATAGTTTGTTCAGGTCATTGATTTGGTAGGTAGTCAATCAACTCATCATCTATAGATTTCGTAAGTATAGTCGATCAACTCATCATTTTTTCTTCACTCAAACTCTTTCTCAAACAACAAGCAGCACTTCCTTATTTAGGATAAAGAGTGATAAAAAGAAAGAATTTGCTGTCTCAACTCTTTAGCCCACTCTTCGGCGTCTATAGGTATTTATTTGATTTATGTTAAGGGAAACTACAAATAGAATAGTAAAATACAAGTGATTGAGTCATTGAATATTTTTTTGTGATATTAGTTATTTTGTGATTAATTCATTGGACTAAAAATTTGCAATATATAATGCAAATATTATTATAATACTATTTGTATTATAAAAGAATAGTGGTCATTAATTTTTTTTTCTCTTTTTATATTATGGACAAGATTTTGTAACATAATAAAAATTTAAAAATTGATATTTTTCCTTAAATTATTTTTACCTAATACTTATACTAGAACAAAATAATTGATATTTTTATATATTATTTTTTTTTAACAAATCAAACATCTTTATCGAACGTAACTTCTTTCTTATTTAAAGAAAGTTTGATTCGAAAAAGCAAAAGAATAATAGGAACAGTGACCAAAATGTGACCTTTTAGTAAAAAATTTATTCAAATGTCATGCGAACAATACTTTTTATCAAACTGCCATATAAGCATAATTCGCTACGACTGGTAGCATATTATGTTCGCCAATGATTTTATGACACGTGGCACACTTTCGCAGGAAAAAATTGACGTGTCATAATTCGCACTGATAGCGAATTTAGTCTACAATATGGCCACATGTTACGAAATCATTGGCCACGAAATTCGCTACTAGTAATAGCGAATTATGATAAGTGAGAGTATAATAAAAAATATTATTCATATGATATTTGAATAAAAAATTTGATGAAACATGACATTTTGATTATAAATCCAGAATAATAGAGGTAGAGGACTAGGATCCGCAACCACTAACTAGCTTATGACCGAGTCAAGCTAGGTCCAGTATGATACAGAAAATCTCTGAATTCTGAGATCACCGCTTATCGTTATGTCTCCAAGTCCACATTTACAACATAAAAAGAAAAAAGAAAATAGAGAGGAGAGAGGGGGGAAAGTGGGACTCATCTCCATCTTCAATCATTATTGGGCCGGCCCATTTTGCGGAAGCTATTATCCGTAGTTCCGCGATCCACTCGTGTGCGTGTAGTGCACCCACCGTCGATCGTAATCCAACGGCTGGTATGGAAGGTCCGTTCCCCCACACTTCATTGTTTTAAGGGAAAACGACGTGCATTAAACAAGTGGGATCTTCGGGTGTTCGAAGTTGTAGTTGGATGGAGGTGACATGCATTATCATCTTCTATCCCTTTCCACTCTCTGCCACCATACCATGACTTTGAGTTTGAGGTGACACTTATCCTCCCCTTTTTATCATACCCCACTCCCACAACACAACTAATCACAAAAAGTTACCTCATCTTTCTCTTTTTTAACCTTTTCTTTCTAAAAAAAGGTTTGTTACAGATACAGCACATGCCTTGTAAACTAGAAAATAGATTGATTTTTTATTTATTTATCCAAGAATGTATTTTTCTTATAATTTTATATTTTTGATATTTTGTAAATAAAATGATAAAATTAAGATTTTGTCATTTTTAGTTTTTTACAAGATCTTAAAAAAGAAATAACATAAAAATAAAGTTATATTTTTTTATATTTATTAACGAAAACATGTCAAATTTGAAACGAACATAAAAAAAAAAAAAGTTGCTTTTATTATTTTTTGTATAAAACCTTAAAAACAAGAAGAAAAATAAAATAATGAGTTATTTTTATAATTATTAATAAAAATTGATCAACCAAAAAAAAAGTAAACTAAATTCCACCTAAGCCGTTGTTATTTTTCTCTTTTTACTCAAAATTTTCTTATTATTTTACTCTAATTCTTTTTTTAATAGTAGAATCCGTGCAAATGCTTTTTTTTAACGGTGTATTGATATAAATGTTAAAAATTCAAGTTATAAATAATAAAATCTTATCAATAAATTAAGTGATTACGATATAAACGAAAATATACATAAAAACAATAGTTAATGATTTTTAGTCAAATATAATGTGAGTGCTACTGTTGTGAGTTTAACTATGATTTGACTAAGTGGTGCGCAAGTCCCTCCAAAATTTGGGCTGCGGAGCACCTAACAATGAATTCTACAATTATTAGATTAGATTCGATGATAAGATAGGAGATCTTTAAATTGGCATCCTCGTTGTAATAGAAAAAAAAAAATTGTTTTTAAAGTGAGTAAGTAAGTAGATATTTACATTTTATTTAATTTAAAATTATATTATAACTTTTAACTCAGTAAGATTTAAAAAGGAATATATTTTTACTTATTTACTGTAGAGACAATATAACTTTAAAAGAATTTTTTTATTGGATGATATAAACTGATAAAAAGTGATTAACATTTACTACTAAGTTGAATATGTTAATTCTCAAAATAGTTTAAATTATTCTTTACCAAGTGATCATTATTTTTAGGGTTCGCTTTTTCTGCAGTTGTTGTAGATAAGTTATCTACAGTAAGTCCAATACGACGTCGTTTTGGGACGAAAATCATGATGTTTTTGTAATTTTAATTTATTTCAGGTTATAATAATTTTTATATTTATAATTTTTTAAGATCTTAATATCAAAATAACGTCGTTTTGAAAATAAGTAAAGAAGTAAAGATAACTTATCTCAGTAACTTTAAGAAACATTTTTCCCTTATTTTTATTATTAATGTTTCAATCCTTCTCTTTTGTAAGCATCAATTTTGGCATGAGGAAATCTCCTAAACACAGTATCAAATCATTAGCCTGTCATTGGCTCCTACTATTTTATTTCCTCTACGGCAATTCTAAAGATAAACAAATGTTATTTTTTGAATCTTTATGATCAACTTGAACTTCTGAATCTATGGATTCCTCAATCTAATATTAAAGTCAGGTTTGGCCTTTGCCAAGACTGGAAATCAATCAATTCATGATGAGCACCCGGCTTTGCTATCAATATCATGCTAAAGAAACAACATTTAAAACCTTCAAGTGATAGATGGAAGTTTTAAAATAGCATTTTTTTTATATATATTAAATATACATAGTTAAAATGCCTTAAAAAACATTTTTTTCAAATTCAACACAAACCTGGATCTGATATTACATTTTAATATTTTAAACTAATAAGTAAAAGTTTAGAATAAATTTTTGTCTTTCACCAAAAATTCTTCTTAACCTAACGGGTATTTTAAATGTATGCATGACGTATCATTTAATTCATACAGAAATTAGTAAGAATATGTAATTTCTTTGATAAATATTAAAAATAATGCACTCCACACCCATACCCTGTTTTTATTCTCTTAGAAATAAAAAGGGAAACTCATGTTAGGTTACTATGCAGGTCTAGCAGATGTTTAATTTGATGCGGTTAAATCTGACATGCATTCATTTTGTTTCCATATGCTTCACCTTCACCTTAAACTTTCAGTTTCAGTTGTTAGAAAGCAACTGGAATTGAAAAAAATTTAACAACTGAAAAAACGAAATATCCAATGATAGAAAGCATAAAACAACATCTAAATAGTTTCATTTTTGGCTCCTTATGCTGTACTGTAGGATTCCAACTACATCTAAATAGTCAATTTGATCCTATTGGTTTCTGATATGAAATATATATATATCCTAATTAATTATCTAAGAATTTTTTAAAGGATTCTAACCTATTTACTATTGTTGTCATTGTGTACACACTCACATCTTGGTTATAAACTTATTGCTTGTCCACAGTGATCTGAGTATTGACTATAATCCAATCTAGATACTTATCTCTAAGGTATCTCTAAACGCATACCATATAATATATCATTATAGTTCTGTAGGACTGAACAGTTTCCTTCTTGTGATCGTATATCTCTCTGTCAAGGGATAATTTTACTTTTATTGAGAATATTTCTTTTCTTCAATCATTCAAAATATCCCCAACTTTATTCATGAACTATCATGTCTGACTTGAAAACTACCAACACATACCATCCATTGTCCACACGAAACAATTATTTGGACCTACTTATGCACTCCCATTTTGAATGAATGATATAAATGACAAATATATGACTAAATAGAGAAACCTAAATAATAAATAATTTTTTTTAAAAGTAAATAAAAAAAAATGCAGTAAAAAGACAGCATTGGCCCATGCAAGTCCCCAACCTGTGCGACCTTCAGCTGAGCTAATAGGCCAGAAAATGTGGTTGCCATTAAATAACGATTCGGCAAATTACCTATATAGAGAACCATATATTTATAAGTGCAAAAGATTGAGGATAAAGCAATATAGGAAAGTTGATGTGAGTGAAAGCCATGAAGGGTTATGAACCCCGTTCAAGCTCTTCTTGTGCAGCCTGCAAGTTCTTGAAAAGAAGATGCATACCCAATTGTATATTTGCACCTTATTTTCGCTCCGATGAGTGCAAGAAATTCGCCAAGGTTCACAAAGTATTTGGAGCCAGCAATGTGAGCAAGATCCTCATTGAAGTGCCAGAGGAGCAGAGGGAAGACACGGTGAATTCACTGGCGTATGAAGCAGAAGCAAGACTTAAGGACCCAGTTTATGGATGCATTGGTGCCATAGCTCTGTTGCAAAGGAAGATGGTGGAGCTTCAACATGACCTTGCCATTGCTAAGGATCGTCTTGCTCGTTATGCTGCTGCTGCTGCTGCTGCTGCTACTCCTTCCACTGATATCTTCAATTCCCATGTTAGCTTACCACCCTTCCCTGAATTTTTCACTTGCAGTGATTTCAATGACAACTTATGCCACAGTTCATCATCTCAATCATTGAGCCGACATGAAACGGTGGATGATTTCATCCAAAGCCCATATATATTTTGATGTTGTTATGAACCCCTATTTCTTTTGTTGCAATTGTTCTGAATTGTGATCAATCAAAAACAGCGACTCTGTTGTAGATGCTAATAAATAAGAACTCCATGAATGATTTGGTCTTGGTTGAAAACTTTAAATTTCATAATTCTTATACTATTATGTGAAGCTAGAAACTGCTAGAAAATGATGAATTTCTTGGCCTTTGTAGTTTCACTTTTGTTATAGTAATAGATTTTTTTTCTGCTCCTAAAAGCATGTTTTGATCAGTTTCTTTTCTCCGAATTCTGATGTTCTCCCACCAGTGTTGTTATGTTAGTAAAGGCACGACCATGAAGCCAAAAGAAAAAAAAGAAAAGAAAGGTCCACTATTGTAAATTCAGATCACCTATTTGTGATGTAGACCCTAGATCAGAGCACCCTGAGCATTCATTGCCATTACCTACATGTGCTTGACATCATTTAGTAAAAATACAGCTACACCAACACTACTAGTTGATTCTTGCTTTTCTTTGAACGACTAATTCTGCCGAAGGCAGTGGGTCTAACTGTACTGTTTTATTGCCACATGAAGCAACCATTGTGATTTTCAGAGTCACGAACCCCACCAACGGTCCTTAAGCTTTACCGTATCATGGGAATCCAAAGACTCATGCCATGCGAGTGCTTTTTTGGTGCATCAGATGCACCATACGTCTGTCCAAAAAATGTAAAAATTTGGGATTTGATGAAAAATACTTATAAAGATATGGGTCAAATAGGAAGACAATTTTTCCTCTTTGGAAAAAAGATGTACCCAATCCGGATGTATAGAAGAATTTTTCCATGGGAAGACCATCAAGGTTCAACAGTTTTGTTGGTTTTAGAAATGAAGTACATTTTATTGATGTGTGACAATACAACTTATAAAGCAAAATAATAAAAAGAAACTACTCACTACTACATAACTTCTCATCAAAGTAGAAAAGAAAACTGCTCACTATATAACTACCCATTAAAGCAAAAAAGTAAACTGCCCACTACATAACAACTCATTAAAACATAATGAAAACTGACTCCTAAATAATTAAAAATATCAAATTGCAGTTTCTAAAGCATGATCTCTAACACTCCTCCTTGCTTTTGGAGCTGCAAACACCAATCTTCTCCCTTAGATCTTCAAATTTGCTTGTAGGTAATGGTTTTGTGAATATGTCTGCCCATTGGTCTTCTGACTTGCAGTAGACAAGTACGATTTCACCTTCTTTCTGAACTTCCCTTAAGAAGAAAAACTTGATGTTAAAATGTTTGGTTTTCCCATGAAAAACTGGATTGTTAGAAATGGCAATTGCTGCTTGGTTATCAATATGAACTTCAGTATTGTTCCATTGCTTCAGGTGTAAATCACATAAAATTTTTCTTAACCAAATTGCTTGATTAGCTGTTGCCGTAGCAGCTATGAATTTCGCTTCTGCTGTGGACTGTGCTACAACATCCTGCTTTTTAGAGCACCATGAGAAAATTCCTGAGCCAAGACTAAAACAATAACCAGAGGTACTTTTCATATCATCCACAGAACCTCCCCAATCACTGTCAGAAAATCCCAAGAGCTTAAAGTCTTGACTTTTCTTAAATTTCACACCAAAATCAATCGTTCCTTTGATGTATCTCACTACTCTTTTTGCTGCTCTTAAATGCATCTCAGTAGCACAATGCATAAAACGAGATAAAAGACTTACAGAAAATAAAATGTCTGGTCTTGATACTGTGAGGTACATTAGACAACCAATCAGACTTCGAAAGTAGCCTTCTTCAACTCTGTCAGCTCCATCATTCTTGCTCAAGCTCTCCTTTTGATTCATTGGAGTGGTCATTGCCTTGCAATCCTCCAAATGAAATTTCTTGAGAATTTCCTTGGCATACTTCTTTTGACATATGAAAACTTCATCTTCTGACTGCTTAATCTCCATTCCCAAAAAGTATGTCATGAGTCCAAGGTCTGTCATTTCAAAAATCTGCATCATTTCTCTTTTGAACTTTTCAACAAGCTTGTCATTGCCACCTGTGATTAAGAGATCATCAACATAAAGAGAGACTATAAGTAGATCATCATCTTCGTGCTTTATATACAGAGTAGCTTCTGAAGTGCTTTTCTTGAATTCTAAGCTTGATAGATGCTCATCTATCTTGCTGTACCATGCTCTAGGTGCTTGTTTCAAGCCATATAGAGCTTTCTTGAGCAGGTAGACCTTCTCGTCCTCACCTTCTTTCACAAATCCTTCGGGCTGTTCAACATAAATCTCCTCCTGCAAAATACCATTCAAGAATGCAGATTTTACATCTAGTTGAAATACTTTCCAGCCTTTTTGAGCAGCAACAGCTAGCGAGAGTCGAATAGTGTCCATTCTAGCCACAGGTGCAAATGTTTCAGAATAATCAACACCAAAAATTTGTGCATATCCTTTGACTACAAGTCTAGCCTTGTACTTGTTGATGGAGCCATCTGCATTTAACTTGGTTCTAAACACCCATTTTACTCCAATAACTGCTCTATCCTTTGGTTTGTCAACAAGCTCCCAAGTATTATTTTTTTTTATCATTAACAACTCTTCTTCCATTGCCTTCTTCCAATTCTGGTCTTGAATAGCTTCTTTATATCCTGCAGGTTCACAAATGGCTACATTGCATCTTTGATAAATATTGGACAACAACCTTGTTCCACGAATTGGTGGGTCATCTTCTAACTCTTCTTGCCACTGTTCCACTCCTTGCTCTTTGCTTATTTGGATGAGAGGACTTGATTTCTGCTTACTCATGGATGCCTCTTGTGCTTGTCCAGTTCCACTTCTCTTCTTCATGAAAATAAACATCCCTACTAATAAGTATCTTTCCAGTTTGAGGTTGATACACTTTGTAGGCTTTGGAGGAAGAGCTATAGCCAACAAAGATTCCTGGTTCTGACTTTTGGTCAAGCTTATCACGCTTTACCTGTGGAATATGAGAGAAACACATACAACCGAACACTCTAAGAAAATTGAGTGAGGGTTTATAGCCATACCATGCCTCAAATGGAGTTTTGTCCTCCAATGCCTTTGTAGGCAGCCTATTTTGCAAGAAGACAGCAGTGCTTGCTGCTTCAGCCCAGAAATTCTTTGGCAACTCTTTTTCGTGAAGCATACATCGAGTCATTTCCATTATGTACCTGTTTCTTCGCTCACTTACTCCATTTTGTTGCGGAGTGTATGGAGCAGTGAGTTGGTGTTCAATGCCAGATTCTTCACAAAAAATATTAAATTGTTCTGAAGTATACTCCTTTCCATTGTCAGTCCTAATGCATTGAATGCTACAACCACTCTGGTTCTCCACCGTTTTCTTGAACTTCCAAAACAGGCTAGCCACTTCTGATTTATGCTTCATGAAAAAAATCCAACACATTCTGCTAAAATCATCTATGAAAATAACATAGTAACGACTATCTGCAAGTGATTGAGTTCTTTGAGGACCAGCAACATCTGAGTGGATCAACTGCAGCTTATTGGAGGCTCTCCAACTTGGCTTGGGAAATGGATTTCTTTTTTGTTTGCCAAATTGACAGGCATTACAATATGGTAAATGATCTGCAAAGGTTGGTAAATCATTTGACAACTCCTTCTTCTTCATCAACAACATATTTGAGAGGTGACAATGGCCTAGTCTCTTGTGCCAAGTCTCAGTCACATTCTCATCTGTGGAAACAACAGCTTGCTCCTCCTTGACTGGTTCAAATGAGAAACTCTTGCCTCTCATTTTTGCTTTGATGATTTCCTTTCCATTTGCATCTTGAATGAGACAAACTCTATCTTCGAAAAACACTTTGAATCCTTTTTCAATGAGCTGTCCAACACTTAACAAATTTTGATCAATATCAGGTACAAAAAGAACATCTGAGATTGACTTTGTACCTGAATTTGTTAGGATAGAAACAGTTCCTATTCCCTTTACCAAAATGTGGTCACCATTACCGATTCTGACTTTTGTGATTGGTGTGGGTTTTAACTCCTTGAAAAGACTTCGATCATGAGTCATGTGGTTTGTACACCCACTGTCAATCAGCCAGCTCTCACTAGATTCATTGCTGGAGAAACAAGTGGCTACGAACAGTTGATCCTCCTCTTCTTCGTCAACAACTTGAGCATCTGCCTCCTGCATTTGATTCTTATTTCTGCATACCACTGCCTCATGCCCAAATTGGCTGCATTTGGAGCATTTTGCATCTGGCCTCCTCCAACATTTGAAAGGAGGGTGACCTTTCTTCCCACAATGGTGACAAGGAGGATATTTCCCCTTGGAATTTCCATTCCTGCTACTTGAAGAAAAAGAACCAGAATTACCTTCTTGCACTTTCTTATTTTTACCAGCTTCATGATATTTTGCAGGTAGAGCTCCTTCAATGACACCTTCTTGCCTCATGGCTCTTCTTTGCTCTTGTGCTTGCAAAGCATTCAACAATTCAGCAAGAGTGATGCTTGACATATCCTTAGTATTCTCTAAGGATGTAATTGTGGCCTCAAATTTTTCAGGAACGGTTACAAGGATCTTTTCAACAATTCTTGACTCTAGAAAAGAAGAGCCCAGCAATCTGATCCGGCTTGCTATACTAAGAAGCCTCTCAGAATACTCCTTAATAGATTCATCATTCTTCATCTTCTGCATCTCGAAGTCGCGAACTAGATTCAGCACCTGCATTCCTCGAATGCGTTCATCTCCCTTGTATTCAGTCTTGAGATAATCCCATATCTCCTTTGCTGACTTCAAAGTCATGATACGAGTGAAAATAGTGGGTGAAACTGCAGCGAACAAACAGGCTTTTGCTTTTGACTTCTTAGTTTTCTTCTCCTTCTGCACTTTTATTTGTGCCATGGTGGGATTAGCTGGAAGAGGCAGAATTTCATAGTCCTCTTCCACTGCTTCCCAAAGATCCAACGCCTCCAAGTACGTCTCCATGCGTACCTCCCAAATTGGGTAGTTTTCTCCATCAAATACTGGCGGAGCAATTGACGTAAGATTCGCTTCAGTTTCCATGGCGCCTCAAATTGACACACAGATCCCTTTAGGAAGATAGCTCTGATACCAGTTGTTGGTTTTAGAAATGAAGTACATTTTATTGATGTGTGACAATACAACTTA